AAACAGTATTAGGGTTAGAGAATTACAAGTATTAACTACAGTACGTCAACCCCTCTTATTAACTTTATCACAAACTAACAATTCAAAGCCAAGCTTGAAGTCTAGAACAAGTCGAGAACATTTCTATAACGAAAAAAAACAACCTTTGGGTCCTTTACCTCTAAAATGCAACAACACGTGTGTCACACACAGAAATCCTCAACCTAGTCGCCATTAACCACGTGACTGGTGTACAAGTCTGGTTTATCAATAACCCTGCCAGCCACCCACAGGCCCCACTCAGTTATCGCATGCTGGTGTACACGTGCATTGATGTACTGCACAGCACATAAAGACTTTCACAAAACCACACTTTACTCCCTTGCTGCACGAGGAAATAATTAAAAGAGTGGTCCATTTCTAATGCGCTACACATATATGCACAAACCATTTCAGATGTGGTTACCTGATGCATACATGGAAAATTAAAAACTCTCCAGTATGCGACTGTGGTCATCCAGAACAGACCATACAGCATATAACGAAACAATGCCCAATCCATAAATATGGAGACATTACAGCGATACATTCCGCTGCTCCTGACGTAGACGTATGGCTTGACCACCTGCATGTGAAATTGTAGTTGTTGCTCTTATAACCAACTCTCCCTATCCTTCTCCTCCCGTGATCGTAACGAGGGGATAGGCCGGCTAATAAACACAATAATAGACGAGTTTGGAGGCGATGAGGGGATAGTCTGCGTTGTATTCTGCCGTCCTTCTGAGAATCGGATGACTCCACCAAGGGACACCAAAGGGTTGTGTAACCGCAACTCTTTATTTCAAAGGGTTTAAAAAAAGAAATCTAGAAACTTGGTCCCAAAACAACCCCTGCCTGTCTCACTATTACAGCACATACACCTCCACATGCTGGAGGTCACTTGGCATTACATTTCGGTGTCTATGGAAACCATAAAAAGCGTATGTGTGAGGCTGAGTTCATATAGAACTCTGCTGGGTGAAGGCTTTCCCCGATTACGTGAGTCATGGGGTGTCCTTTTACCATCCTTCACCAGCTGCTCGGTGCTGCTTGGTGAAGATGGGGAGCATAAACGTAGGTACACACATAGTACAGTACAATGTGTAGTGACTGTGCTTTTCACTGTATGGTGCCGGGGCTTGTGAAGCCACGGCCGTTAATGTGTTGTTATTACGGGCAGCCCGGGTTACGGGATGTAGTACCAGCCCTAGCGGGGCTTGGGTGAGCGCTGGTTAGCGTGGAGGCACCGCGAGCAGTGTGCGGTGCGGGCTCCCGGCGAGGGAGCGAGAGAGAGCGTCAGCCAGCCAGGGTTACCTTGGGGCATGATATGCTGGTTGACCTGCTATCACGTGACCGGATGATATTAGAGGGGGCCACCGGTGGACGGGGGCCGTGGGGCGGTCACGTGGTCCAAAGGAGCTCTCGGGAACCTTCGAGAAGGAGCTCGAGAGACCTGGAAGGTGGGCGGGGCGAAGGGCGGAGCCAGCCCCAGCCCGGGGGCATTTAACGAGGGCTCCGTGAGGAGCTCGAGGTTCTACGTGTGCTGGTGTTACAAAGATCCACGTCGGGGAGAAGAAGCCTCTAGCCACGTGGTCCGGGACCTCGTTTGTGGTCCGGACCGGGATAGCGAACCGTGTCTCGTTCTGCCGTAGCATGGTTAGATGGGCATTCGAGACCCGAGTGTAGATCGTGTTGTGTTGCGTGTTAATGTGTAATAAATAGTGTTGCTCCCAAGATAACGTCTGCGACTCAAATTTCGATTTAAAGCTTTCGTGACTGCAGGGATTCATCTTCTTGGTTCTTTCGGTAAATTCACGTAGAAGGAAAATAATAAAATAATAAAAATTTAACATAATAAAATCATTCTCACGACGTTTCGGCCACAACGCAAGCAGCCGTCTTCAGGTGGAATGGCACGCCCCAGGCTTGGAGCGACTATTTATGCTGGGATGGAGGGGCGAAGAGCGGCTTGACAAAATAATTTGCATATCAAGAGGAATTTAGCATATTTATGGGAAATGCTGATATGCGATTAGTACTTGTGAAATGCATAGGAGGTTTGGCGAGGGGTTTAAAGTCATTATGCCCATGCATTATGCAGGATTAGCAGTCGTGAGAATTTTTATTGTTTTATATTATTTTATTATTTCCTTCTACGTAACTTTACCGAAAGAACCAAGAATATGAATCTCTGCAGTCACGAAAGCTTTAAATCAAAATTTAGTACAGCATATCTCAATACGTCCTTATACATTGACGATGTACACGTGTATCTGCTGTCGCGCAGACGTTGTACATACATACACGATAGAAAGACTGGGCGCGTATTTGTAATTAAATATGAAAATTACGCTCGGCTGGCCCGAGGCCACGTGGCAGAGGGATCCACGTGGCAGTGATTGTAGAGGCGGGGGCCAAGGCGACCCTGACTGTCAATCACTCCTGGAATTAAACTATCTTCAACTCAAAACAGGTCTTCCCACCTCCCCCTCTCACACACACACACCTAACAACGCGCATTTCTCATTCGCATACCGAGCCGGCGTACACTTCGTATGCGTGCGTGCAGGTGAATTTTTTATTTTCTTCATTCTCGTCGTGAGCATCGATAAATAAATAAATAAAGCTCGCGGCGTGGTGACGTCACCGCGTAATTTGTCCCACTTGTGGCTCCGCGGATCAAATCACGTGATGACGTACAACAATTACGCGCCCGACGTCACCGCGCAAGGTCGGGGGATGCAGCGCGCGCGGCTTTAAACTTTACGCGGTGACGTCACCGCGTAGTTTCCATCGCTCGCGAAGGCGGAGCGAGGTGGTGCGCGCTGACGTCATCGCGAAGGTTCCGTAACCGTACGGGACGACGTCATCGAAAACTGGTGGGAGGGCGCGGGCGAAACGGTCACGCGCTGACGTCACCGCAGAGGTTTCAGGCATGAGAGGGGGCGTGGCTAAAAGGTACGCGATGACGTCACCACGCAGGGATCAAACGTGAGAGTGGACGTGGCTAAACGGGTACGCTGCTGACGTCACCACGGAGGTATCAAACATGAGAGAGGACATACTCTTAGGCTTTTTCGGTAAAGTCACGTAGGGTAAAAAATAAAAATAAAATTTATAGAAGTAATAATAGAAATAAAATAATTCGTGATTTATTATTTTATTTCTATTATTTCTTCTATTAATTTTATTTCTATATTTTACCTACGTGACTTTACCCAAAAAGCCTAAGAGTATGAATCCTTGCAGTCACGAAAGCTTCAAATCTAGAATGAGAGAGGGATGTGGCTCAAGGGTACGTGCTGACGTCACCACGGAGGTTTCAGACATGAAAGTGGAGATGGCTAATGTGTACGCGCTGACGTCACCGCAGAGGTTTCAAACATGAGGGTGGACCTTAAATTTGGAGCTTTCGTGACTGCAGGAATTACTCTTTGGTTCTTTCGAGGGTAGACGTGGCTAAAGGTACGCGATGACGTCACCACGAAGTTATCAAACGCGAGAGTGGACGTGGCTAAAGTGTACGCGATGACGTCACCACGGAGGTCTCAAACGCGAGAGTGAACGTGGCTCAAGTGTACGCGATGACGTCACCACGAAGTTATCAAACGCGAGAGTGGACGTGGCTCAAGTGTACGCGATGACGTCACCACGAAGTTATCAAACGCGAGAGTGGACGTGGCTCAAGTGTCCGCGATGACGTCACCACGAAGTTATCAAACGCGAGAGTGGACGTGACTAAAGTGTACGCGCTGACGTCACCACGGAGGTCTCAAACGCGAGAGTGGACGTGGCTCAAGTGTACGCGATGACGTCACCACGAAGTTATCAAACGCGAGAGTGGACGTGACTAAAGTGTACGCGCTGACGTCACCACGGAGGTCTCAAACGCGAGAGTGGACGTGGCTAAAGTGTACGCGATGACGTCACCACGAAGTTATCAAACGCGAGAGTGGACGTGGCTAAAGTGTACGCGATGACGTCACCGCGAAGTTATCAAACGCGAGAGTGGACGTGGCTAAAGTGTACGCGATGACGTCACCGCGAAGTTATCAAACGCGAGAGTGGACGTGGCTCAAGTGTACGCGATGACGTCACCACTAAGTTATCAAACGCAGGAGTGGACGTGGCTCAAGCGTACGCGATGACGTCACCACGAAGTTATCAAACGCGAGAGTGGACGTGGCTCAAGTGTACGCGATGACGTCACCGCGAAGTTATCAAACGCGAGAGTGGACGTGGCTCAAGTGTACGCGATGACGTCACCGCGAAGTTATCAAACGCGAGAGTGGACGTGGCTAAAGTGTACGCGATGACGTCACCACTAAGTTATCAAACGCAGGAGTGGACGTGGCTCAAGCGTACGCGATGACGTCACCACGAAGTTATCAAACGCGAGAGTGGACGTGGCTAAAGTGTACGCGATGACGTCACCACGGAGGTCTCAAACGCGAGAGTGGACGTGGCTCAAGCGCGCGCGATGACGTCACCGCATAGGTTTCAGACAAGAGAGGGGGCGTGGCTAAAGGGTACGCGATGACGTCACCACGGAGTTATCAAACGCGAGCGTGTACGTGGCTCAAGCGCGCGCGCGATGACGTCACCACAAAGTTATCAAACGCGAGAGTGGACGTGGCTCAAGCGCGCGCGATGACGTCACCGTATAGGTCTCAAACGCGAGAGTGGGCGTGGCTAAAGTGTACGCCATGACGTCACCACGAAGTTATCAAACGCGAGAGTGGACGTGGCTCGAGCGCGCGCGCGATGACGTCACCGCACAGGTTTCAGACAAGCGAGTGGACGTGGCAAAACGAGTCGCGATGACGTCACCGCACGCGAGCTGTTGCTGCTGGTGGTGGTGGTGCTGGTGGTGGTGGTGGGGGCGGGGCCACGTGGTGGGAAGGGGGCGTGGTCTCCGCGCCGAGTCTCCTCTGCGCGTCGGCGCGCGGAGTTTTGCACTGCGCGCCGCCGAGTCGTCCAGTGCCCGAGGTAAATCCGCGGCTCATCCCGCCCGCCTGCCCGCCTCTCTCTCTCTCTGTCTCTCTGTCTCGCTCAACAGCGACGGCCAAGCTCCCCCTCACTCTCGCCTAGCGTTCACGTGAGTGAGCGAGCGAGCGTGGTGTGTGGACGCGCGCGTTCGTCGTGAGCGGGCGGCTGCTTTGTGAGAGTTCCTGCAGGAAGTGCCGCTGCTGCTTGCTGCCCCGAGCTGCCCTCATCTCTCCTCTTCACCCCCCCCCACCACCCCCTGTCCTCCTTGGCTGCCCCCCTTCTAGCCTTTTGCTCGTGGCCCACAACTTGACCTGGCCTTTTATTCCATTGTCTTTCATCCAGCATGCCTGCACCCCCCCCCCTAATTACAACTTATTCAACAGTGCGGTTTGTTGCTGACCATTTGGCGTTTTCGGGACTTTGGGGCCCTGGGCTCAACGATCGCGATGTAAAAAACAATGAAACCTTGCCTGCCTGCATATAATCTACGCCTGCACGTCTTCATTCCTGAGTTTTATTCCTTTGCCACTGCCCTCCCTTCTATGTCCGTCTCTCTGTCCACTACTTTTGTCTGCCCCTCTTATGTTAACCCATCTGATCGTATTTTACTTGAGCCCTCTACCCATCTCCCCTGCCCCTGACACTGCCCCCCATTACCTGCCCTCCTGCCTGCCCCTCTTATGTTAACCCATCTGATCGTATTTCACTTGAGCCCCCTGCCCATCTCCCCTGCCCCTGACACTGCCCCCCATTACCTGCCCTCCTGCCTGCCCCTCTTATGTTAACCCATCTGATCGTATTTCACTTGAGCCCCCTGCCCATCTCCCCTGCCCCTGACAATGCCCCCCATTACCTGCCCTCCTGCCTGCCCCTGCCCTCCTCCTCCTCCTCGCCATCGCCTTCTGTACCCCTCCACACGCCACTATATAAACGCGGTTCGCTTTGCATGTAACGTACATCAATTACTCTTCTTCGCAGAGCGGGACATCGGGGTTCGGATTACGCTTTGTAAAAGTTTGGACGTCGTGTAACTCGGTTTAAAGAGCGATCCTGAGATTCTCGATGTGTCCCCAGTCTGCGTAACAGCACAGTCTAAAGCACTTATTCCATCCCCTCCTCCCTGTCTCAAGTCTCCACGCACTGTAATGGTGTTGAATTGAGGCGCTAAAGTTTACTTTTATCTGAGTTCATACGTAGATGGGGAGACCCCCTTATTGTGTGACAAGTAAAGTTGGGGTGGGGGGGGGGGCTAGTTTGGCGCTTGCCTTTAACCGCACAGCAGAAGTCAATGGCAGGGGGACGCACACGCGTTCACACACGCAACTGTGAGTGTATATGTGGCACTGAGGCCATGAATGAGCAACGTGGACATTCGTGGAGTGGCTGGCTGGCTAGCTGCCTGCCTGCCCCCACCACCAACTTCCCCCTCTCCAACCCTACCCCACAAGTACCCATCCCTCCCTTCGTCTTGCCTAACCCCCCAGACCTGCCCCTGCTGCAAACGCCTCTTGCGGGGAGGGCTGCCCGGCTGCTTCCGCGCTGTTTGCATTGGGCGAATGCCAGCTTCTCTTTACGCTCCACGCTCTCTTGTGCTTCATGCACACATATACAGCCAATTAATTGACGGAGATTTGATTGGATAGTGTTCATACTGCATTAGTTGTAATCACAATCACATTGCTACGGCTGGCCCGTTATTTATTTTAAGTATGCCGTTTTCCTTGCCATTAAAATGATGTTCTATTTCAAGTCTTGTGATTTACTTTGCATTTTTCACATTCAACATACCTGTGGTGTGGCCAACAGTGCAAAATTCCACCGGCAGCAGCAGAAGTTTGGCACTCGAAATGGAATATTTGTTCTTTTAAAACGTTTATACAGTAGAACGTCGAATTATAATTTGCGCTTAAACTTACGTGCAACTATTTTATAACTATCCACCTCCGTCCACAGAGCAGTATAAATTGGCATAACCAGAGTCGATCGTCAAATCCGCGCGTGCTGGGTGGGGTGAGGTGTTGAGTGCTGTTACCTATCCCAAGACGTCTTGGCCGGCCTGCAAGAGTAGGCCAAGTACCCTCCAGAAGGGCTCTCTCGAGTTCCCTCTCCTGTAGAGACCCCACCATCAGTAGTGGCGTGAGCAATTGTAGTGCTGCACATGTTAACTCTGTTTTCAATATGGGGCGAAGGTTATATAAACGGTGTATTTTGTTGGTCCTGTATTTTTTAATGTTATGTAAAACGGAAAAACTCTAATCTTGAACCTTTCATAATGGTTTTAAGATGCCAAAAATGTGTCGTAAAACCTCGAATATTAAAAAAAACATTTGTACTGTACTTCTATGGAATGAAAAAAACATAGATTGCACTGTTTTAATGACCACTTGTAGCCTAAATAAATGTACGTGTACTGCCCTTTTTTAAACCACTACTGGATGAGGTCCATGCCACACCGTGCAGGTCGTAGAGGTCACCACGCTGGTGAGTGTGGGATGGTGCAGCCGAGCATAGACGTGGGAGCATAATACAATACAAAATGGATGTAGCTGGACCTGCCGTCTTATGCCTACAACATAAACCCCACAGCAGCTTGTATTATATTTATCATCAATACATGTTTCTTTTGGACCATTGCAGATTAATCTTTGCAGCAGTGATTTGAAGAGCTATCATCTTTGACAGAGAAGATGGACCTGTACGACCCACAAACCCTGGGCCTGGTAGTCTTTGGCGCATTCATGCTGGTGTCGGCGCTGGGAATATTTCTCGTCTCCACATTCTCAATGAAGGAGACCTCTTTTGAGGAGGCCCTTGCAGCCCAGAGGAAGCAAGACAAATCTCTTTTGTTTAAAGCTGGTGATAAGAAGAAAAAGGAGAAGGTGACGGACAAGCCCAAGAGGAAGAAGAAAGACGAGAAGCCAAATGGGCAGGTGGTGGATGGAGAGGCTGAAATGCTGGTGGTCGATGTTGAGGAGGTCAAGTATGAGTCTGCACCCATTGTTTCCACACCACCGTCTCAAGACATGGGGGCCAAGGACAAGAAGAAGAAGCAGGCCGACAAGAAAGTTGGAAAGGCCGAGCAAGCTGCTGCTGAGGTTCCACCATCAGTGGGGCCTTCTGGAAAGGTTAATCACCAGACTGGACTAGCTCAAGGAAAGAAATCTGAAGGTACGTGTCAAATATGGTGACAATATGATTTATTTTAGTGACGTAGGCAACAGTTTTTTACAATACCCATCCTGTAAATGTTTATATTTTTTATCCATGAATGATTATACTAATTTAGCCTAAACTATTCGTCAACTTTTTAAATATTTTATCGTAAAGGTTGTGTAGAAATACAACACTAAAATGCATTGGTTATTCTTTAATAGTGCCTCTGAAGAAGCAGGAAGTCGTGTCACAAGAAGCTCAAAAGAAGAGTCCTGACCTTGTCAACACCAAGAAGAAATCAGGTGCTGACAAAAAGGGAAAACCCGATAGTTCTGAACCCGCCCCTGTCATTCAAGCTAAATTGGCTTCCACTACGGCCTCGGCACCACCTTCGACCAAACCCCAGAACGCCTTCCCCCAGAATGTCACTCAATCTGTTGCACCGGTTAAGGTGCCACAGGTGGCGGAGAAGGCGCCGGTCGTGGCTCCCCAGCCAAAGTTGGAAAAGGTTGTGGCCCCCGTGACTAAGGCAGATGCACCACCAGCGCGTGCCCCTGCTGTGGAGGAAATCAAGGTGGCCATCGAGGAAATCAAGGTGGCCGTGGAGGAAGCCAAGGCACCAATTGCTGCCGAACCTGCTGCGAAGAAAAAGTCGAGCAACAAGAAGGGCAAGAATGAGACCGGTAAGGTTGATAGATTAATTCAAATCAAGACAGATTAATTAAGTTTTGATTTAAAGCTTCCGTGACTGCAAGGATTCATATTCTTGGTTCTTTACCGAAAGAACCAAGAATATAGGTATAAAATAAATTATACCTACGTGTCTTTACCAAAAGAACCAAAGACTATGGATCCCTGCAGTCACAAAAACTTAAAATCTAGATTAAGGTTGTTAAATTGCCCACTGTGCAGTCTGGTTTTTTTAAAGACTGGGTTTGACTGGTGGATGGATAATGACCGTACATTATAAAAGACATATTGGTCAAAAATTTACAGTCTGATATCATAGGCCAGCTTTGACGTGTAAGTCAGATCAGGATTCGAAACATTTAGTATTTAAATTTTTGCGAGTATTAAATAAAGTGCTCACACTATCCGTTTGAGTATTTATTTTGAATGCGGTGGGAAGGTGGAATATTGACATAGCTATTATGGGAAGAAATGAATCAGGCATTCATATTTCACGAATATATTGTAAGCCCAAAAGGACATTGCATGTAAACCTTAAATTGTGTAATTTAATGCTAACACTAACGTTACAGTAGGTTGGTTTGAGGTTTGGGTGTACATATTGGTTAGCCAGATGTGGCTTGTGCGTGCCATAGAATATCTTCCACATCCGCTTGTCTTGCCATACGGCATGCATCCAAATAGCTTTATTTAGCTTATTGGACGCGACTACAATGGCCCCCAAGATTAAATAATACATTGTATTGGTTTGTTATGGTAGTGTATGGTGAATGTGATAAATATTTAAGAGAGAAAATAATACAACTGTACCAATGGTTTGTGACATTTTTTCTTGAATTCTGCTTAGAGTTTATATGCACACAGTGCATTATATATAAAACTTGTATTTACATCTCATTTTAATGCATCTGCATCTGAAATGTGTAAACGTATTGCTTACAATCTTTATTTGAAGCTTTCGTGATTAATTTTCTAACTCTTTTTAACAGTTTATTGTTTAAACTTTTACACAACTGTATATCGTGTTTGCGAAATATATTTTCATAATAATATAGCTAAAAGTAACTTGCTCATTTAATTCTTAAACCACGTGACATGTACTCGAGATGTTAAACGTACACGTAGTGGCCTTTAGGTGAAGGAGCTGCGGACATATGGAATAGATTCCGTACGAGCACTGACGTGGCACATTTGCACTCGTGGGACTGAGTGCAGACTCGCAGGGGAACACATGGTCAACGGAAAGAATGAGACCATTGCAAATAACTGGCATTTGTTTTAGCTTAGCTGTCTGGAAACATGTATTTTTTTTACGACAGTACTGCACTGCACTATCAAATTATTTTTTACGTCTATTTGAATTTTAGATGTTGGGAACAGCTACATGCATGGGCGCACTGTCATGTCATATAATGTACTGTGATTAAGAGCACATTTATATTTATGGCAAGCTTTTAAGAAAAGCATTATTTCCCATTTATTTAAAATGTGTTAGCTTAGGCAAATATAGCCATGCCAGCCGGATCCATACGTTGCTATGAGACGGTGGATTGAGAGTGTCTGGATCCAGGATGTTTGCTCTTGGTGGTGAAATGTTTTGGCCTGCAAGCAGTGTGCATAAATTCCTATTTTTGCCACTCCATGGATTGCCTGTCACAAATTCTGCTCGCGGTACTTTTTTGTATTTTTTTATTTCCCTTTGTGTGACATAAGGTCCGGTTTTCTTAGTTGCATTTCAAACCTGCCGTGGTGAAAGATGTCGGTCTAAGTTCTTTGTTTTCCATTCAATGGTCACAACCCAATGGTGTCCTCACGTCACGAAATTGGTTTCTGCTGATGTCACGCTTTCCCGGAAAATGTAAATTAATTTCTCCTCGTGGGTGCATGAGTTCAGCAGGCTGCATTGCACGATACTGTTTGCGTATTTGTACATTTCCTCAAGGGTAAGTGCATTTTTCTTGTAAGCTGTTTACATTTAGTTGCGTGGAAAGTTGTCTATTTTTTTATTTCACTATTGCCTTTCGACGACAGGTCACTTTTTGAAATAGCGACCCTTAAGTAATTGCTGTTCAAATATATTTACAAGCCATACATGAATGAGTGTGTTCAGTATTTTGTTGTATCAATGAGCTCTCAAGTTATGTGGCCACTAAGCTTATGTGTTTGACAATAATTAGTGGTGCAAGGCACTGGAAACAGGGTCACATGAGGAAGTTGATCAGGATACAGTACTACATAGTTGCAAAGCCTTGCCCTTTGTAAGCTCACACTCTTTTTTTCAATGAATGGCTCTGTATAAGGGACGTAAGAAATGAAATGGCTTTTTTCAGATATAACCATACATTTATTTCTCCTAATAAGTAATGTTTTGGAAAAAAGTGTTTTAAGCTATGAAGGATTAACCAATGCTTGGTCTACAAAGTGGATTAAGTGATAAGTACAGTATGTAGATTATACTATTAAAGTTCGTGTTTATGTGCTCACATTATTAACAAATTGCAATCTATTTCATGCAGTGGGTTTCCTTATGTGTGAAAGCTAATTCAACACATTTATGCAACTTTTGAGAATGTAACAGTTGGCATTTACTGTTGGTCATATTCTGGCATCATTCGCATTTTTGGATCTGATTATCATCTAAATGAAATTTACGGTAATAGCCAAAAATATTTTTTTCTCTTACATAGCTTCAACAAATATGTATTTTTCTTACGAAACTTTTTAAAAGCGGTGATGGTTATCATCCATTATATTTGGGTTAAATTTCCTCAATGCAAGCTATGTATATAGCTTATAAAAATAAACCCCCTCCGATATTACGTATTTAATCAGTGGTGGTTTGCTTTATTGTCTTTGGACAGTGTTTTATGATATCAGTTGCTAAAGTTAATGTTTAACGTAATGTACAGAGGTAAATGGAAGTAGGCTTACTTCAGCAGAAGACAAGGTACTGTATGTGGCGTGGCATGGCAAGAAGAATCCTTTCCCCAGTATGTTTGGCATGAGACAATTGAATTCAGCACTTAAAATCGCCACCACCATTGACCTTTTTCTTGCCATTTACAAGGAGTCTATTTGACGTTTGGCATTTTAAATTGTATTTGTATGGTTGCAGTCAAATTTAGAAATGTCTTGTTTAAAGTTTTGTGTGGACAGCCGAACCAGTTCTGTGAACACAATACATTTTACACGAGGTTTGTTTACTGAGATATGAAAAACTTGGGAGTGTTTTACAGCGTTAATCCCATTCTGTGTGCTTTGTATCACAGCAAACATTGACTGTGGCAAACATTGCCAAAATTCGTAGAAGTTTAAGCATAGTATTGCCACTGCTATCCTCATCTTTGACGAATGCAGTTGATGCATTTAAATGTGTTGAGCAGATAATATTAAACAGTACTCTTTGCTTTTTTATCTTTTAGTTGTTAATACTATCCTGAGCATTTCCATGGTTGGTTACTCATTAAATCATAAACCCAATATTGTGGCCTGAGTTCCAGGTGATATGCCAACATTAACAAGTAATTTTGCCACGTAACTAAGCCTCGGATATAACGTATCGCTGAAAAAATGTAGTTTTGAATAAATTATGACGTAGCTTTGTCGAAGTTTTCCAATTTGACTATCACAGTTGGAAATCGGTTGCTTCATTGTGTAAATGTAATAAATTGGTATTACATTTGTAAGTTATCATTTAAACCAGTTGTCTCAACACAATTTCACCCAAGTATGGCCCCTAGCTTATATATGGAAAGCATACCGTGAAGGGACTATTATTACAGTGTTAGCTAAAGGTAATCTTCACTCGTGAAAATGATGCCGTAGTGAGTTTGACTACCACTGACAGCACACGATGTGCTTTCTTAATAATGACGCTTTGTGAGCCTTGAGCCTTCAATCACAAGTAAAATATTTTACCCTTTACCGCCATCCACCCTAACCTCCATCCGCACATACTAACACTATCTTTATTATACCACGTATGTATATATTTAACTGAAAGGGTATATACAAATGTATACCCGTACATGTCTGTGTTGTTAGGAATGCACATGTACATTATAGGCTCTGATGGAAGCTTCTGTTTTTTGTGGTCAGGAGAATGTTTTGGCAGAGGAACCACGATTCTGTTGGTGTCCTTGATTCTTAGCCTGAATGTTGCATATTTAAAAAAGCATAGTATCTGTGCTGGCCATACCCTGTCAATACTTGCTTGGAGAGGTTGGCTAGGTGTCTCTTCAGGCCATTCTTGATTTGAAGCTTTTGTGACTGCAGGAATCCATTCTCTTTGTTTTTTTCGGTAAAGTCACGTAGGTATAAGGCCATTGTTAAGCTGAAAATAGACGTTTAACAACTTGAATAGGGTGCAGTGAAAAGAGGGTTCTTTCACACCAGTGCTTGAGACTGATGCCGAGGCCACTACACACCTCACACTCCATTTCCTCAATGGACCTAGCAAAATATGCATATGTGTGTGTGAAATGTATTGTAGTTATGTTAGTGTTTGGTTATGGTATGCTAGAAAAGGCAATAGAATGTATGGTATGGTAGACTGAGGTTTTATTGTTGCCGTCTTTTGTGCAGTATCACGAGGAAGTGAAGAATAAGAATGCAACTTCAAACATTTCTCGAGCTGTGGCACTGGAGAATTGTCTTCAGTCACATGTACCTATTTCTAGTGTGTAGTTGTATGAACAGGGGCGCCCGTCCATTTCGGCGAACTAGGCATTCACTTAGGGCGCCAAGTTAAGTGGGGCGCCAAATTCGAGGAAAAAAATACAAAGAAAAAATGCAAAGAAAATAACGACTGTTATTTCAATTCGCGTACAGGGGGAATATCAATTATAATACATTTCTAAAAATTTCTGAGAATTTATAGGTTGTACAGACGGACAGACAAACCGAATAATTATGTCTCGGTTTAAAAAAAATACGCTCAAAAACATTAAATGGAAAAGAGGGGCAAAATGTGTCCTAGTATACCAAAAACCTCAGCCGAGATCTGCTCTTGGGGTTTGGGGGTGGTGGGGGTGCCGATTGCACGGTTTCCCTAGGGTGCCAGTTACTGGAAGCTAGTCTAGGGCCGCCCCTGTGTATGAACTAATGTTTTCTAAAAAGTTTCCTAACCCCATCTTTATGGGTGAAGTTTAAGAAAACCGACTAATTGGGTTGTTTGGGGTTCGATAATGTAGGTATACTGTAATACAACATTTGTAACCAAATGCGCACCACATGATGAAGCCAATCAAATCAAGTTTTGGTGATAGACTTCTGTGGCTTACTGCACTGTCCAGTTATCAACCCTCATTTACAAAAATTCTGATACGACAGTTCTCTATATTCGGCAATTTGAATGTTAAATGACTAATGCATGGTTTTGAATGAATCGGGACATCTTTTTTCTCAAAGAAACAACAAAGCACACCGGCTACATTCAGAAAGGCCGTGAACACTAATGGTTGTGTGTGCATTTTGATAGCACAACTGCCCTTTCATTGATGAATCATTCATTGAGAAATGCAGTTCATTAGCACGAACTCAAGGCCTTGGTTCTTAAGCAGTGTGACGTGCTTTAGTGTTAACCTTATTAATTTTAGCAAACCCAGCCCGTTCCTTAATAGCGTGGAGACAAGCTGTTGACGCATGCTATTGTGAATGAGGAACAGGAGCTTTATTGCCTTTATTATTTTTAAGCAACTGTTAAAACCTTAAGCAACTCCTGCTAGTGTCTCGCCCCACGTTTATCTATTTAATACAAATGTATTTCAACAAGTATTGTATTAATTTTCTGTTGTGGTGTTGTATCCAAAAATACCACTGCCCTAAACATATACACTTTACGAGAATGTGTGTTTCCCTCCAGCGTTCTAAAGCTGAGTTTATTATTAGTACCTGGCGAGTGCACAGCTATGAAATAATCTACAGTAAATATTATCTACCACAGAAAGTTTAGTACGTAATGGTTATGTATACGGTAGTATGTTATCTGGTAACAAAAGGTCATACGCATTTATATATATAGTATTGTGCCGGTTAACATATAGAGTATGTATTCCTCTATGTGTGCGTTTCCTCTGATTCTTCTTAACACATGTCGTATTACATTTATATATACGCCACAGTACTCCACTTAATGTATCATCATTAGCCAATATATAATCACTGCTCGATAAAGGCATCTCCACATTGTCGCCACCGATCGCGGCCTTCAGATACGAAAAGGGATAAAAAGACCAATTACAAATTAACTTTGTAAAGCCATTTGGAAACGAAGGAGAAAATGAATTGAAGAACACAACACAAATATGATTAAACCTGTCATATTGTCTATAAATAACGTGTTTGCACTTAGTGGCAATATAGTAAGTAGTTGGTGGCTATATGTTTTAATTTGTGGTCAAAACTTGACGACAATTGCACTTCCTTAATACAGTATTATATAGAAATATATCTGTTAAGATTGTTTTAATAGACAAACCCATATATTTTGTTTGGTTACATATTTTAAATAAACTGCAGTGTATGGTTTGAATGTTTTACCTGCCAGAGAAAGGTCTAACAACCACTAACACGTGTAGATTCATATTTACAACCCCTTAAACAAAAAGCCATTATAATGAGTCAACAGTCGGTTACATTGAGCAGTGTATGGGGGCTGTGCATTAGACAATTGTCAGTGTCTGAAGTGATGTCCTCCCACCTGGCTGTGCTCAGGTGCAGCGGAAGGCCATGTCGCCGTCCCGTACAGAACGCTGCTGGACATCGTGAGCGGGATGGTGTTCAGCCAGGGCGAGGCTGAAAGGCTCATGGAGGTGTTGACGGAGAAGACTGGAGGGCGGATGCAGGGCACCTGGCACATGGTAACATCAGCTGTAACAATAATAATAGCAATGTTTTTGTTGTTGTTTTCAGCCTACTGCTGGACAACTGCCAGACAAAGGCCTGTCCCAGTTTCTTTCATTTCCTTCATAAGTTGTGCCTGTCCAATAGTAGCCTCTGAATTATTTCATTTAATCTTGCCATTTTTTCAGCATTCTTCCTCTGCTTGTTTGCCTTATAATCCGTTCCGTGGTTCATTTTCTCCCATCTTTTGTCAGTTTTACTCATGATGTGACCTGGCAATTTCCACCATTGGAGTGTTCTTTAACAAGTATCAATTTGGAGCTCTCACATAACAATTCACACCCCATCCTGGTATGGCATAGCTAGCAGAAGGAAATATCATTTAATGACATCTGAAATGCTTCTTTGTTATCTTTTTTGTCTACACAATAGAGGACACAATTAGCCGCATGCCCTGTTCTACAAAAATCTTTGTCACATATCCATCAAAACAATGTTTTAATTCTCAGCTCTTGAAATTAATATAAGTGAAAAACCAAATTAGACATCATAGCTTCTTTTTGCAGTTATTTAACTTGTTACACTTGAGAACCACTTATATCACAGGTAGCCACGAGGATTTAAATCCAGATTCTCAATAGTGCCAGCTCAGTATGTACTTATGTTGAGTTTAATTCGCACCGAACGTAGCCAACCATGCTTCTTTCGCTACCGCAGATATGGAAAAATAATAATTTGGGATTGGCTTTGATAACATATACCGCAGGAAGGTTTAACACCCACTCCAAAGTCCTGTAGTTGACATGCTTTTGTAATTTAGCCTTACAATTAAACGAGCAGCTGTGGGAATTGAACACATACACTGATCCTAAAACTTAATGAAAGTTAATAACAATGTTGAAGATAGCGCTAATAGTTAAATACAAATATTTGTAACAAAGTACTGCGTGTACAAATACATGGAGCAGGCTCAGCACTGTAACACGAGTTGCTTACAGAATACACAACCGGTCAAGTGCTCTGAGCCGTTCCACTTTCTGTTCAAGTGCAAGTGACACATCAATTTCCCTTGCTTACTCATGCGAATGTATAAAAAGTTGCTTCTCACTCTTACTATAAATCTGACTGGTGGTCTTAAAATTGGTTACCGGTAAGGTGGCCTCCATAAACATTTCTGTACATTGTGTGTTTACACTCCTGTGATCAGAGCCACTGTTGTGTTCTACAGATGTCATGTATCTTGAACTCTAGTGTACATTGTGCTTCGATATACAGTGTTTTACTAGGTTGTGTAGAGACAAATGTTCAACACATGCACGGCTAAAAAGAATCAACCACGATGAAGAAAATACACCTCCACTGCTCTTGTGTTGACCACGGTGGTGTCAGAGGCACAAACGTATTGTTGTTTGCTGAATTGGTTGAATTAATGTCATATAAAGTGGGTGTTTTATACTTGTGCTCGCAAACTGACAATGGAACCTTGCTATGCACACATACGCACAATGGTTTAGATTTATGGGAGGCCATTTAAATGTATTGTAAGGCGAGTCCTGCTGCCTCTGGTGACGTCAAACTGCTGTTATGTGCACGGCTGATTGTACTTCCCTTAAACATTTACTCGCCTATTTTGCTTCGAATTCTATTCTCAAAATATATTTTAGTGTATGCTTTAATACGTGTGAATATTATTGTTGTATATTTCCCAGTTCCTTTTTTTTCGCACAAAGCTACCTTGGTAGATGTTGTTTGGGGTTACCATGGCCCTAAACTACAAACAGTATTTAGTTGTAAGTAATTGTGCAGTTAATTGGCCCCTTGGGCACCTTGGGCTAATTTAAACCTTAGACTTTGGGCTGTACAGATACTATTCTCACCTTTGGACTGCGCAGGAACCAGCTTCTGCCTTCACCTGGTATTGTGGAGTATTATTAGACATGTGTCGTGTTGTAGAACGACACTACTGCATTGGCTCGGTATGGGGGCTGTATGTAAGCAGGTGTCACGGGGGTCGTGTCGGGCCGTGACACTGCGTGAACCCAACAGGACACGTGACCGGATAAAGGGGGGCCAGGGGCCCCAGGGGGGTCACGTGGTTGGGGTTCAGGCCTTCCCGAAGGATCGGGAAGGGGCGCGTGGCCTGGGGCGGAGCCAGCCACGCCGTAGTGGTTGTCAGCGGGGCGTGGACGGAGAGCTGGGCTGTTCTGTGCTGTTCTGCTGGGTCATCTCTGGGATGAAGCTATCCTGGTCCAGTGATGTAGTACCGCCATGGGTTAGCTAAGTTAGGAACGGTGGCTACCACCTTAAGTCGTTATGTTAAGTGTTACCTGTTGTGTTAGCTAATAAATAGTGTTGCGCCTGAATTTAACCCACTACACATGTAACAATGCATCAATTCATCGATTTAAAGTATTTTACACTTTTTATGCATGGAATCATGAGTGTATCAATAATGTCTTTTAAATCATACATATAGGTCATGTGCAGTAAAAATTTGACCAAATGCAATCAATTCTGAAATATTGTGACCCTAAATTTTAGCAATTCATCAAATCATTGTGGAGGTTTTAGGAGTTTTAATCATTACATCTCTGATTATAGAGTTAAAGGTCTAGATTTTTTCAGATATAAAAATAATGCTTATTAATGTTGATTAAAAGGCTATGACTTTGGATGGTGGGTTAGCAGAGGGGGCCTCAACAAATACATATATATATTTTCCTTAACAAAGACATGGTCTCCATGAACAAGCACCTGAATGTGCAGTGAACTACAGAATAAACCAGGTTGCATATGCGTGAGTACTGGGAATAGACAATTGTCACGTGTTACTTTCATGATGTTAAAGTATCTCATGTGTTTTGACTCTGACTCCCGTGCTGACTGTGTGCGTAGGCTAGTGCCAAAGGAGACCCAGTGGCAGCTGTGAAGAAACAACTGGAGGAGAGGGAGAAGCAGCTGTCTATTGAGAAGGAGGAGGCAACTGCTGCCAAGGCCAGGCTGAAGCAGCTGACGCAGGTGAGCCACTAGACGTATGACGCAATTGTGTAATCGTGGTTTGTTAGTGTGAGTTGATTATAAACTGTAGGTTATTATACTAATGCTTTCAGCTATGTTTTTTTTTATTTCCTTAGTTACAAGGTAACTTACATTTTTCTTAGTGACATTTTGTGGTAATGCTCACAGTGGATTGTTCAAGCTGTTCTATTCAATCATTTTGTAATTGCCAGCTATTGGGCATTGTTATCGTACAGAATGACATAGTGTGCAGATATTTTATTTCATGCACTTTCATTCCACGTACCTTGACAGTGGGCCATTGTTGGTGCTTTTCATTTCTCAGGTGTCTTAATAGGTCCCAGTTCATGTCTAATGTTAGCTGGAAAATTGTGTCGGTGTGCGTCATTAGCGATCGCATGTGTTGCTTAATGGTTCTGCAGGAGGTGACCACAGAGCGGGTGAAGTGGGCGGCCCTGGAGACCAAGCTCCGTGAGCAGGCGAATGACAAGGAAAGTGAAGCCAAGGCCCTGCAGGCGCGCATGCAGGCCAGCTATGAGGATCACACGAAGGAGGAGCAGCAGCTGCAAACCAAGGTGACCCATACGGGGGGGGCAGGTGGCTCCGCTAGCCAGTGCAACCTCACAGATGCATGTCTCCTCCTACAAGTGTCATGTGGATGACCCCACCGTTGTCTGAAGTTTCAAGCACAGCCTTGTAGCTTTTTGTAGAGCATTGTGGCACAGTGGTAACATTTGTGCCTCAGCAAAAATGTCTGGGTTCGATTCCTGTGGAGCCTGAATGCTCTCCTCCTGGTGCTGTTTAGGTTTTCTACAGATTCTCCGGTTTCCTACTATTGCTAAAAGCATAGAATGCATCCCAAATGTAGGACCCTCCTGAAAAGAGTCCCTTGGACTTAGAATGTCTCTCCTGGGTAATAAGTAATTATCGCAGGCAGCACATTAATTTTGCTTACTTGAATGTGTGTTTTGGCCTCAATACTTTAGATAACCAGTGTTTCAATTGTGTGCTGTGAATGTAGATGTAAAGGCAACTGAGTTTTCCTGGATATGTTCTGTCTGTGATGTCCTAGTAACATTCTAAACAAAATAATCAATCCACTGTATTGATCAGCAGGTCGTGGGTGGTAAGGTAAAGCATAAGTACTTCTACCTCTTTCAAGATGTCTGGCCAGTGTGAAAGAGTAGGCTAACTACCCTCGAGAGGGACTCTCTAACTTTTTTGGAGACTCAGCAGTGACACGAGGAAGACATTTCAGGGCTGCATCCATACCTTTATTCCTCATGGAAACAGTCAATATGAATGAGAATGCAATAGTATAATGTGGAGTTAATGTCTGTCACACTAGTAATATAAACAAATTTTCTGTTTTTTTAGCACACCAATGAATATCAGTTCACATTTTTGCAGCTATATACTTTAGCATGCGGGATAGCCAATGCATAGCACAATTTCACATGCTGCGCTGCGCCGTTAGATGTTAGTAACAGTGCTGTCTGGTGCACCACAGTACATCTATTAGAGGGCTTGCAGTCACCTAAGTGATTGAAATGACAATTTAAGTGTTTTTGTGATGCAATGGGGAGCATTTAATGTTATTTATTTCCGAGCAAATTTCTGTCTGGCAACATTGAGCATTTCTCCTGCAGTCCATTTATGATTTGTGCACCGATTAATAGCTGTCGTTAAAACTTAATGTGCAAAAAGTGCTGACGGTTTTGGTGAATAAAAATTGCAATAAAAAATAATTTCTGCATCTTAAAATATACACAATCGTGATCAATCCTGACCGTGCAGTATCAGGGTATGGAAACATCTATTCATCACTTCCAGCTATGTTCTTGGTTCATGTGGTTTCCTGTGTGCACTTTGGGGGGGGGTATGTTGGTAAGCACAATGTTGCGATGTTCTTTCTTCAGAAGGACATGTTTAAAAGTGCTTTAGTACCTTGATGGATATGTCTATATTCACCATTCTATATTCATGCTAGACATGTTCTAGTGTTTATATACCACATGTTAGTGTCTGATCCTATTGTTGGAGTTTAGATGTGTTTGTGCAGTGTTGCATTCTCTAGGTTTAAAAGTTGGTGTTTGTATATAAGTGGTTGTAAACATGTATGCTGCTGTATAAATGTCTCCTGTGTCTGTTCTCAGAATGTCTTTGCAAATGACATGCGTGACATGCAGTCTCCGAGACAACCGTATCTGTTTATTAACATCAACAGGTTCCATAAACATGAGTCAAAGCACCCGTGCCCACATGCTATTGCTTTCTGCCATTTGCTGGTCCATCTTAATCAGGTATAACTTGACTTACGAGAACGTGTTGGCTACTAATAGTAATTTATTATTTTTTAACAGGAGCTCTGGCTGTGATAGTAAAAATTGCACAATGATACTTATAATTATGGATGCAGCAGACCATGTTTAAAAGTTGACATTTAATTCAATAACACTGGTTTATATTTACCTTTTATAATCAGATAATATATATGGCACTAGTTGTGACTATTTTGACAATCTTTATTTCAGTGACATGAAAATGGGCTGCAAAATTTATTTTTCATTTCAATAAATTAATTTCCCAGGGGTCATTAAACTTGATTGGCAGACATCTTTGGCGTAACTCACTGGCTCTTAGTCAATTTGGAAAATCTGGCTCATTAAGTGATCCAAACATATTGTTTGTTCCCATAAAAAGTACTTCCAAACACATGTATCTAGTGTGTGTACACACATGGATAACTGTTGAGTGTTTTGTACTTGGCAAAAGAAACTGCTTCCGTAGTGTTGTTCAAGCTAATGTGGTTGTAAGAGAAACTTAAAATCCTTCATCTCAAGTGGTATAAACTGGGAAGCAATAACGAGTGAAATACCTCACTGGAAATCGCAGGTGAATGAGGCGGGCCAAAGTGGCTGAGGGAAGGTAGTCGAGTGAGAAGAAAGAAAATAGTCAGGACAAAAGCATCACAAACCTTGAGCAAAGAAAACAGCAATTTTTTCCTCTGGTGCCTGATTGTATGCGGCATGCCTGATTGTATGCGGCATGCATGATGTGCCACAGCTTGAGAATTACTCTCGCTAGCCACCCACAACACAGAGGGGGGGACCTACAGTTGATGGACCTTTTCAGCACTGAAGCCATCATACTATGAAATGCACGGATGCCATTGATGATTGATGGTTGTGAAAAGGGTAGTGATCACGATGGTGTTGTGTATGTGTGTATGTTGGGGAGCGGTAGTGTAGCAGTTAGTGTGCTGCGCTACGAACCTGGCGGCCCCGAGTTCGATTCCCGCTCACGGATAACACCAGTGACAATTATCTGAACCGGTCCTGGGCCTCCTCTAGGTCGACTCAAACTCAAATGAGTACCTGGTGTGGTGCGTAAAAATATCGCCACGAGGGGAGACAAAGGCGGCCAGGCGTGGTGCTGGCCACTCACCCCCTCGTGTGATGTTCTGGCGTTCATAGATGTTTGCTAACAGCACTTGCCCCAACAGTCTGTTAAGCTTATAGGGGGATCTTTGTTTTTGTGTTGGGCTCTAGGTGCGAGAGCTGCAGGAGGAGCTGGATACGAGCCTAACCAACTTGCGCAAGGACAACACCATTCTGAGGGAGGCACTCACCAACTCGACCAGCCAATTGGATAGCAAGTAAGGCCTTCAGGCTATTGTAACATTGACTAAATTATGTGTACAGTCCTTTTCCTTAATATTAAGTTATTTGTGGAAGACTATATATACACACACAAAAATACATAAATATAGAAGAATCATATGTTTAATTCATACAATTGCATCTAAAAGTGCTGTACAATAATTACACCATTACATCAAAGAAGGGGATAATCCCAAAATAAGGAACTTATGAGCAAGGGTACTAAGTGTGGAAACCAACAAAATCATAAAAAGTCTTTAAAAAGTTTTCCGATTTAGCTGTGCCTTCTAAATGTATAAACTCTTCACATCACTAGAATGTTAAATCATCATCAAGCCAGACAATAGTTTTCTTACAAGTGCTATACATACTCTCCTTTATTGTGTTGTCACATCCTTTAAACATAGCTACTTGAACCTTAAAGTATTTGAATTCATTAAATGAAAAAAAAATTTAAATAATGTATGCCCATGCAGTCCACTGAGAACACTGCCCATCTGTCTATATAATCTATGCCACATAATATCGGTCGTTAGTATATAGTTGTTTGTGTGCATTGTAGGGCCAATGCAGAGCTGGCAAAGCTGCGGCAGGATTGCGCTCGGCTGACCAAGGAGCTGCATGACAAGACAATGAGCCAGCAGAAGGAGGACAAGCAGAAGGAAACCGTTGCTGGCTACGAGCAGCAGATCGCTCAGCTCAAGGTTTGTTTAATGGGCCACGTCTATGAGTCGTAGCTATGTGTGCCCCTTGCACCTACATTTATTTTACATCCAGTCTGTTTAGCCTTGAGGCTAGTGTCATGAAAGTTTCGTTGGCCTCTTGATTGTGTTTCCATTGATGCTGTTGAACCTTTTCTTATGTATCGTTTGTTTTTGTTATTTAGAAAATATGGCCAATTCACTTTCAAAATTGTCTATCAGTTATTTATATTCATTCACAAATACTGATATGGATACTTTTCTTTACAATGTGTAGCACAAAAAATTATCGTTATATTTTAATTGAATGTAAGGTATGTAACAATTGCAACTTCCTGAAACTGCTTTTGCTTAAATACATTACGTACAGAGCGAAAGAAGTTCAACATACATAAATAGCGTAAATAATTATTTGTCCAGATCATCGACATTTAAACTCAAATTACAATTGTTGTGTGTGAGATACAAGTGTTGGCATTGTGATACATGCAGGAGTCAGAATTCGATTGGGATACTGGTTTCATCAATATTGGGTGTGTATCGGTTGAGACAGAAAGAACAGCAGGAGTCGGTGAGCACACTGCAGTCGCGTGTGAGCGAAGTGGCGGCTGAGCTGCGCAAGGCCCAGGCCAATGTGGACAGCCTGACTGATGACATCAAGAAGAGCAAGGCAGAGCTGCAATCTTCACTGCAGCAGTCCGGTGGTGGGTCACCCCACGTCTGTGTGCACACTCGATGACGCAGTGGTTATCGCAACTGCGCTAAGAACCCAGTGACCCAAGTTCAATTCACAGCCACAACCAATAACAGTGGCTAATATTTGAACAGATTCTGAGCCTGCCATAGGTCAACTCAGCCTTAAATGAGTACCTGGTGCTGTGTGTAAACGTTGCCACTGGTAAGACAAAGGCGGCCGGGATTGGTATTGGGCCACTCACCCCCTCGTGTAATGTGCTGACGTTCACTAAGAGCACTTGCCCCAACAGCCTGTTGAAGTCTGTACCAAGGGCTCTTTGTCTTTAAATAGAACATACAACAAACCATAGGTCCCCATCTGCTTGTGTACATGCACGCACACAACAGCCCATGGTCCTGCCTGTGAGTTTTATCTATGCACACAGCAACCCACTCACAGGATGCACACTGTTTTCCCCTTCCAAGTCCCATACCAATAGGGCTATTGGCGTTTTGTCATGAGATCCATTCGGCTTTCTCACAGAGCAGTGCAACCCTTTAATAATGGAGAATAATGGCCCACAGAAGCAGATATAACAGCGCTACCTCTCAGATAAGTTTTAAGTAATGTCTCATCCGTGTTAGGAGTAATACTTTTCCACCTGCCCTGCCGCTGAGTAATGTTCACCTGATAGTCAAACTTATATTTTTAATTCAGATTTTTAGTTACATTAAGTGCAGAATCATTTTTTTTGTGATGGAGTTTTTTCTCTGCCTTCATTTGTGACTAGGCTGAGACCATCAACTCACACAACTTGAAAACCTGGATTAACAAAGGCAGCTGCTTCTTGAATTAAAACTCTATATCTTTGTGATGCCAGCTCAGCACTCTGATCCACCCTCAGGGTGCACACTGCTCATCATTTCTGTGATGTCACCTCATGACCTGCTGTGACCTTACAACCAGAGGTCTTGACTGACAACGTTGCATTTTTTGTCTTAATCGCCCCAATGGATGCACCCTTACATGGATATATCTAAAGAGGCGTGGGTGCTGTTTGAGTAAGCTGCTTCGAATAATTTCCTTAGAAAGCATTTTTCAGTGCACTATTTATGTGCATACTTCATGGGTTAGGTCATGAGAAGACAATCATGGTATACATTATCTGAAATTGCACATATATATTTTATTTTAAGCTAGGAAAGCTCCTGAAACATATTTCCTCGTCATAACATAGAGGTATATATCTCTACATTAATATAAAATACTTTTTTTTCTATTCGTTGGGAATATTGGTTGATTTGCTGCTTTCCAAACCAAAGCTTACATTGTTCTTGTCATGTATGTGAATGCTGTGATTTTGTTGGCTATGTTAACCACTAATATGTTTGAAATCTGCTACTCGGTATGGCTGCTAGGAATTCTAAAGTGTCGGTGCATGAAGACTTATTTTGTGCTCGGGACTTTGCCTGTGTGCGTTTCCCACTTTTGTGGCGACAGAGGTGCAGGGAAAGCTGTCGGCGGCGGAGCAGCAAGCGGAGCAGCAGAAGCGCGAGTTGGAGGGCCTGCGCGCAGAGCTGGCCAGCAGCCAGGGTGAGAAGGAGCAGCTGCAGGAGAGGATCTGCTCTGTGGAAGCTCTGCTGCAAGCCAGTGCGAGCCAGGAGAAGGAGCCCAGCCAGAACGTTGACGCCAGTGTCATCAGTGAGCTTAAGGTCTGTGCCACTGCCATCTGTGGCCCCTCTGAGTGTTTTGAACCTGCGATTAATTATTACGTTTTTTAAACTCTACTTTTTTCATCATTATGTTGAAGTTGCTTTTTATTTTCAGTTGGTTTCAATATTATCTTTATTTGTCCTTGTGAGAAACTGTGCTTGTTGTACATGTGATAGATTTTCCCCTAGTAAACACCAACAATTTTCGGTCTTCACTAGAAAATGGTGTTAACTACCTGGCCTGGTGTACTGTAGGTCGTGTGCTCGATCCAAACCTTGATGCCTATGTTTGGAATTAGTATATTCTCCCTGTAAGAGTGTGGATTTTTATCCAGGTCCTCCGTTTTTTTCTCCATATTTAGAAACATCCATTTAGAGTATTTGTCTGCTATAAATTTCTACATGATAAGCCACTTAATTGGGCTATAATTTGAGGCCAGGTCGCGTGTAAAAAAAGAGCGATGTAGCACAGTGGCCCTTACCATGTAAAAAAAATAGTTTAACTTAAATAGTTTAATTATGGAACTCTGGTGGTACTGTCTATCCAATGTATAATTAATGTAAAATGTTTTCGATTTGCTTACTTACAAACTAGGTTGTAATCCAAATCATTTTTGTATGCCGTGTACGTCATGTTATATATTTGACAATCCAAAAATGGTTGAGCATACTTACATGCGATTGATTGTTGCCCCCTTCAAAGAGGCTTATCATTTACTTGTAAGTGAAACGTTCAACACTATCATGTTAAATGTGAAATACTAAAATATAAATGCGATGCTGTTTCTCTTTGCCAAATACATTTATACACAAGGAGTTGCAGGAGGAGAATGATACCCTAAGAAATCTCTTAGAAACTCTACAAGAATCTCTGACTCCGTTTGCTGGACAGGTATCTGGAGCAGCTTTGGTAGAAGTGCTTTACCAAGGGATTTTCTGGTTCCATTGCTTCGTTGTAGAGTCTCATTCATTTCATCACGATTAGTAGTTGGTGACCCATCATACTTCTGCAAAACTATAGGCTTGCCTGTAATTGCGAATTCATCTTCTTTTTCATATAAATTAAGCTTTCTTATAGTGTTTAATAAAAAATACAATAACAGTTTGTATTCCATTTTTAGGAATCTCACATGGAAGAGATTCAGAAGCTGCAGACTCAGTAAGTAAAAAGAAAGAACGTTTTCAGCACATTTTTTTCTATTTTAGAAGACTTGTATTTGTTTATTCAGCTCTTAGTTCTAATTAAAGCATTACATTAATGTGCTTATGAGTAACTGTAATATTGTTTTTCTTAATGGATGGTAACTTTTTTGTTTGGAAAGTATTGTAGCTGAAAAAGCATTAACTTAAACATTACATGCTGCCTAAAATGCTAAGAAAATAATAAAACCTAATGATGTTTTCAACATCCTTTTAAAACAAATGTTAGAGAACAAGCAGAAGCATCACTGCACACAGGCCACTTGCACTTATAAAGGCTAAATGCAATTATTTAGTTGTACGTTGGTTGGAACTTTGAACTGTTCGTGTTAGGAAAATATTCCATGTAAAGTGGGCAGTGATTTATTGATGTGGGCTTGCGAGAGAGCTTCTAATGGAGGTGCGCTGAAACGAAACATGACTGTGTGGCAGGGTGAAGGAGCGTGACGACCAGCTGGCCGCGTTTGAGAAGCAGGTGCTGTTGCTCAGTGAGAGTGTCGAGCAGCAGAAGCAGAAGAACAATGTAAGAGACTTGCCACTGCTTGGCAGATATTTCACCTGAAAGGATCTCGGGGGGGGGGGGGGGGGGTGGTAAACTCGTGAGGTCTCCTTTATTTAGTCATGTAGGTGACGTGGCCGAACAGGAGTGCGTTCACTTCTTGTAGCAGAGGTTCATGGTTCGGGTGTATTAGCCAAAAGGTACGAGCTCTCTGCTTCACAGTGGACGTTCAACGATCCCGTTGCACCATTTTTAAGTGTAGGCCCTTTTGTGCCAGTGACATGGTGGTCCAAGTTTCCCAAATGTGAAAAATTCCCTGCAAATTAGTCAGTTGGATTATATATAGCAATCATTGCCCTCTACTGTGAAGACTTGGCAGGACCCTGAGTAAACAAGCATCGTAGTAATAATGGTAATGCTTGTCTGCTAAATGTTAACATGAGATTTTCTGAATTTGGGAAAGACGCATGAACTAATGTTCAGAATGTGTCCCCACCATCGTTGGTCCTTTCATCAGGTGTGTAACGATTCGCCCCCCTCGCCAGCCAATTTGATGAATTGTCATCTTTCAAGGTCGCCATCTGATTCAAGAATTGGTTATTTCACATTGTGGGGAATATGTCCTCTATCTGCTGCAATGGTCTCTTGAACCCATGACATAAAGCACATACAAATTTAAAAAAATATCGATTCTTACACTCAACAAATGCTTGTATCATGGGCTGAGTAATCTACATCGATCGATGCATTGGTTCCCGCCTTGGTTTAACGACAGCGTGCCACATTGTGTCTTGCATATTTTTGCTCTTCAGCACCCTCTGCCTACTGTTTTGTGCCTGTAATTTTAATTTAAGGCTAGTGCTACAAACAAATGCATTTTCCAATAATATCTGCCATTGGTGCGTACAGAACACATAGAATTACTTTATCCATTGTATTGCTACCTAGCTTGACTGTACTCTGGCAGTTATTCTGTATGCCTTGCATTCATTTGCACTCTTGGCATGTTTTTTATTTAACGCTTCAAAACTAAAAGTGTTTTTTCATTTAACCTTGGCGCAACCGCGTGCAATGCATGGCGTTTGGAATGTGCTTATTTCTCTACAATAGTCACAGATTGTGGCCTTCTCTAAAACAGGATCTGCGAGAGAAAAACTGGAAAGCGATGGAAGCTGTCAATTCAGCAGAACAGCTGAGCAGTGCAAGCTCGACTGCTAAGGTGGTTTTCTTGCCTGTGTAACTAATGAACCATCATGCCCACCTCTCCAGACGTTGTCCTCGAATTTAGTTTTCCATAACAGTGTAGAAATTATGCTGCAATTGTGCAGATCGGTTTTTAAATAAATATAATTTGGCAAGTAAATGTAAATGAATGGACCACTATATTGTTTCTTCTCACACTTTAATATATATATTATATTTCGATTTAAAGCTTTCGTGACTGCAGGGATCCATCTTCTTGGTTCTTTCGGTAAAGTCACGTAGAAGGGAAGCAATAAAATAATAAAAATAAAACATAATAAAATAAAATAATTCTCACGACGTTTCGGCCACAACGCAAGCAGCCGTCCTCTTCACCTGAGGACGGCTGCTGTCCTCTACGTGACTTTACCGAAAGAACCAAGAAGATATATATTATATATTAAAATGGTGACTATGGCAATAATACTTACTATTTTCGATGTAGTTTTTTATTTAAGCTCACTATAAAGCAGTTTCAAGCATGTCTGTTTCATTTACTCAGAAGCCCATTCAAGAGTATATATTATGCAAAGTCACATTTTCACAACTTAAGACTTAAAAGAATACAGACATTATCTCTCCGTCCCAAATCTACCCTGCTTTCGTTGACTTTTACCATTATAAACACATTGCATGTTCCTTTGCTGCATGTTATGCATAAAGCCTACGAGTAATGTATTAAGTGCTTGTGGTTTGTCATGAGCGTATGTAAGTCATGTGATTTGTCGTCTTGCACAGGAGGATCTGGAGAAGAAGATGGAGGAAATCGAGCGGCACACACGGGAGACGCTTCAGAATCTCTTCCCCACCGTGCCAGTCCCTGCAGAGACGGTATAGCGCAGGGTTGTGGTGCATCATTGCACTGCAGCTGATGCCCTGTGTGGCACGTGTATCCGTCGTCCTACCCATGCACACTGCAAAATCTGGTGTCCCCGTCTTGAACAAGCACGAATTATAAAATTGTTAAAAACTAACATACCACCATGGAAAATCTCGATGTTAATTATATATATTCGAACGTGTTTTTTATGCAGTATATTTTGTATAAATCATGCATTCCAATTCAAGCATAATGGGATTTCACCTGATTATGTATATAGAACATTGCATTACAGGAAATTGATAGCGGTGTGTATCTTGCACTTTAATGCACAATGTTCTACTTGAAGCAGTAACACTGATATGCGTCTATTTACACTCCTACACTTTGTTAAGCAAAGTAATATTGCAATGCTGAGTAATTGTCTGTGGTCAAAAAGGAACGTGCAATCTTTTGGAATACCTGCTGTAACGCCGGTGAATATAGTACTCTATTTTAGTGTGAAGTGGGTTTAGAGTTTTCATATCCATCATTCTGTGTCAGGAAGGGGACAATTTGTATTTAACTTACATGTACATATTTACACGGATGCCCCCCTTTATTTACTGGAGGTGAAACGTTCCACAAAGAAAACAATCTACAGCTTATTGTTTTTTTATGACCAGTTGCTGCCATTGATTGGATGAAATTGGACTCTCTACGAGTTAAAATGATTTCAATATTTACTCAACCATTTATTTGCTAAGCATTTGTGTGACACATTGCATTGTGGAAAATGACAGATATCAAGAATGATGCATTGTTTGGTAATGGGAACAACATAATTGATACCTTCACATTTTCAGATATCAAGAATGATGCATTGTTTGGTAATGGGAACAACATAATTGATACGTTCGCATTTTCCCTGTTGAAACACCTGGAAAGGCTGGTTTTTATGCCAGGTTATAAGTACATTATCTCCAGTAGTAGGGCATATTGCACAGGACATGAAAAAACATGCAATAGGGCGGCATATATTATTGTAATATCCAACCGCGTGTATCAGGCAGTCCGTCGCTTAGCAACGTGCATGTGAGGTTCTATTCTGAATGAAAAAGGACAGTCGTGATTCTTAGTTGATTATTAATTTGTCTTTTTACACCAGTGCAATAATACTCAATAGTGTAACCCAGTGCTAATCTGACTGCCATTTCATATTCATGAGCTATGAAGCACTACCTACTTGTGTTTAATTTTTAAATAACAAAAAATGGTCATGGTAATGATGTAGCACGTAAATTCATGTTTCAGACGCCCATGTCAGTGTTTGCTATAGCCATGATTGCCATGGTATTCAAATGGCAGTGAAGTGTCCAGCTCTGTTATTCAATGTAAAATATCTATTTTGTTGCTCATGAGCATGGGGTAGTGCTAATCTCCTTTTCAGAGCTTGGTGACATTGTGGGAAATTCCACATTCTTATGACAGGGTGTTCTCATTGTTCAACTTATAAATACAGCAGAAATGCAAATAATTCCTATGAGAATAGCCCAGGAATACAAGGGAGTAATACAGGAATTATTTGTTGACCAATGTGGCCCAAGCAAAATAGAGGGTAAATATTGTTTCATTTGATCCCCTCTAGAAGGTGCTAATGAATATCAACACCCCTACAGAGGGAGACCTTCATCTTCTTGGTTCTTTCGGTAAAGTCACGTAGAAGGGAAGTAATAAAATAATAAAAATAAAACATAATAAAATAAAATAATTCTCACCACGTTTCGGCCACAACGCAAGCAGCCATCGTCAAAATTATGAGAGCTTTAAAGTCAATGGTATGTGGTCGTGTGCCTCCTTGTAAACCATGTTGCTATTCATAAGGACAACCCGATGCTCTTCTTGACCCTTGAACAATGGAGAACTCGGCCTGTGTGTGTTTAACCCTTGGTGTGCATGCAGAAGCTGAAGCAGTGGCTGCAGGAGTTTGAGAAGCTCGCAGAGGAGAGCCTCAAGCAGCAAAAGGAAGCTGGGTCCTCATCCGTGGTGCGATAACTGCAGTGGTGTCTCTCGGATATTCATTTATAACTTGTCTCATAATGATTCCTTGCTTGCATATCAATTTAACCAATGGAATACTTCATACAGATTTCGTTACACAAATATTACATATTTTAAAAAATAATAAAGTCGCCATATGAAGAGGGAAATTTGTGAATGTTTAGTTTTTCATGAGTATCAGACTTGAGTCATTGCTCTACACGTAACAACATTCTAACTGCCACGAAGCCTCAGTCGGGGTCTTGAAAAGGAGCATCATTAAACGTAAAAATAAACATCTGCTTCTTTGGACGCCACTGCGGATTTCTTACGCTGAGGGGTAAGATAAATTTTGTCTGTGGGTGTCCTTCAGGAGCTAACGCAACAGCTCGAGGAGGCAGACCAGGCACGCAAACATGCGCAGTCCGAGTGTGACAAGTACAAAGCAGTGCTGGCTGACACGGTGAGTCTGGTCAGGTCCTGCACACTTGATACCCTTTCCACACAGGTCTAGGAACTGGGTTGTGATGCATTGGTTTGGGTATTTTATGTCGATATGTCAAAGTTTCACAGTTCATATTCTATAAATTACCTTTCACTGTAGCTGTCACAATTATTTGAATATTAAATAAGTTAATTACATTTTATGAATAGATTTATAAGGATGTATTTATTCACCATTTAAAATGGACTTCGTTGGTTTGAAGTATGCATTAACGAAAAGATTTTCGTTATTTTTACATATAATTTGTTAATGTGCAGCTTGCGTCCACTATAGGTTCTATGTTTAACAAAATAGCAAAAAAAAGTATTCTTAGATATGACTTCATTAAATCACAAGGGGGGTGAATCATGAGATTCTTGATAATAATAACGTGGGAAAATCATACCATGAAATTAAATCTTTATAAATGCGCAACTTTCATTTTCATCTCATGCAGCAGAAGCAAGTCGTTTTGGGTATGTTCGGATGGCAATGTTGGAAAACAACTGTGTAATCACACCGCAGGGGTTGCACTTTGAAGCTTGGCTTTGTTTTTTTCAGGAGGGCATCTTGAAGCAGCTGCAGGGAAGTGTGGAGGCGGAAGAGCAGCGATGGAGAAGTCAGATTGCCGAGGCCGAGTCCAGCCTTCAGCAGGTTTGAGCTCTTGGCTGACTCGCACACTAAAGCAGCGCCTTCAAGGGAATTCTCACGACATGTGCCACACTATATACACTGCATATAAACTGATACTGGTAGGAACCTCCTGGTTACACCAGCCCACAGGGGATTATTGTGTCCGTCGTGCAGGGAGGGGCTGGGTGGGGAGGGAGGGGCTGGGTGGGGAGGGGCTGGGTAGGGAGGGGCTGGGTAGGTGGGGAGGGGCTGGTCACCCCGTCGTGCCCTTATAAAACTCAACGTTTAACCTACTCACGCCGGCTTGTGCCCGCCCTCGCTGTCGAGCATATTTGCGGAATACACCACGCCGCCGTTGACCCTGGCCATTGACCGAGCAACCCAACGTTCCTACCAACTCCCTCCGCAGGAATTTGTTTCGGGGTTTACTGGGGTTATTATTTACCATTATTATTATTCTTGGTTATCCAGGAAAGCCGCCGCCTCACTGAGTTTCAAAACTCATTCGGGAGGGTCCTGCTAAGTTTTCGCAGGAGGGGCAAACATTGCTGTTTTCCAGTTATGTAGCTGATGAGGACATTTTCAAACGTGGAAAATTTTGACCATGATGCTGACACAAAGCAGTGCTTTATTTTTTACAGTATGCATGGCTGTTTTGGTATTTGGTTAGCTTCTTTGCAACTGTGGAATGGAAAAGATTGATGCACATAGCCAACTGCTGCCCATCACAACCAATGAATGGTGGCACCAAAGCAGTTTACAATCAATGCCGTTGAATGGCCAAGGAACGTAAACATCAATTTAATACCTTTCTTGCTGTTCCAAAAAGCAATTGCTCATCTCTGCAACACACAATGCAAAAGAAGAATAAGCTTTTCACTAAAAATATTCCTGAATATACTTAAAAACTACCCGTTGGACTTGTAATGATGGATTGTGTCATGCTGTGCATTAGTCACAGGAGCGTGTCCAGGTTCTGGAGGAGTCATTGCACAAACTTCAAGGAGAATCCCAAAGTTCTGTGCAGGTACACCATCGGTTTTATAACAGTTGCCATTTTGTCCCTTACAACTTTGGCTATGGTTGAATTGTTTTTATGTTTTGTCATTATTAACATTAGTGGCATATTTGTACTCTAATTTATGACTTGTTTTTCTGTTGTAAAAGCACATATATGCATTACTCCATTATATGTCCACTTTTGAAACATGTATTATTAGTTCAGCCTATTGGCTTTCAGACCAAAGTATCCAGCAGCATTTGTTTAAGCTATAAAACTGGAGCGGTTTCTACCTTCTGGGTCTCATCAGCTGATTCAGGCTTGTTAAGCCAATACTGCTGGATTGTCAGATGTTATTGGCAACAGCACTCTATATAAACGATGGCACCCTGTTGAATGCAAAATGCAATATTCTTACAAACTCACTTTTTTGGGGGGGGGGGGCGGGCATTGAGATTAAACTCGCACAACAATCCCTTGCCAACCACGGGGGTGATGTCCCTGAAAACAGCCATGGTCGGCAAAAACGCGGTTGGTAATAATAAGGCCTTTATGGGAAATAGAGAAGAGGGGAAATAGAGGGTTCAGGCAACCGCAGCCACCGTCACTCGTCAAAGCCTAAGTTTCCGTTACTTCGTTAAACACAAATAAAATAAACAATAACATACTAAAAAACAAATGTAAAAATAACAATTAAAAACAATGTTATTTACCTTTAATACTGAGGGTTGAAGTCCACGTTTATGATGACTTTGATAAGGATGAGGTAATGGCAAAGGTGGTTGTTAGGACGTGGGGCTTTGCCCACCACCCTCTACTTCCACCTAGTGGTGGAAGGAGAGCAGTGGTGGGAGCTGGGCAAGGGGATGATGCACGGAGGTAATAGAGATGCGGGTGATTTGAAATTACAAGTGCTGGTCGCTGTGCTAAACCCCAGATACACAAAACTCCATACCACGGTTATGAAATTGGTATGTCAAAGGAAAACCGTGGATACATAAATACCACGGATGCGAAAAACGCAGTTGGTGAGGGATTGTTGTGTAAGCAGAAATCCGTTCTTTGTCAGCACATGTAAGTAAAGTTTTAGTCCATTGACAGTATTGCCTTGGATGGTGTTTGGTGTAGCTTCAGGCCACGGTGAGCAAGCTGGAGACGCAGTTGACAGAAGCTCAGGCCGAGAGCGAAAAGCAGTCGGCTTATGCAGCAGAGGTGAGCCTCACATCCAGCCCTTATCCATCTAATGGAGGCACTGTTAATTCTGAGTGAGAGTTTGATACTTGAAAGTTGTGGATATCTAACTTTGTGTTGCAAATGTATCATGATGTATTTTGTTTGCTGTAAGACCTGTTGGTTTCCTGTTCGAGCCAAAACATGTTTTAATTGTGCTTGTATTTTGTGAATAATTTGTTTTTACTTTCAGCTGCAGCTATGTGTTACATTTTCTGTATTCTCTTGCAGCTGAAGGGTAAACTTTCAGATTCTGACTGCAAATTCACAGCTGTAGATGCAGAGATGCAAAAACAGAGTGAAGAGCTTATTTCGGTAAGATTTGTAAATGGAACAGGATGGTGTGGCGTGGTGTTATGTGTTCTTGGTCCAATCTGTACTCATTAACTTGTTCCCAATTGATTTTTCTTGTCTCCAGCGGCTGAAGTTCAAAACTTCTTTAACATCGTTATTTCATTGCAGCTGCTTTTAATGATGCCTTGTGTTGGATACGTAGTTTTATTTTTGCACTTACATTTATTTGGTAACCTTTTGTTACAAAATGTGCTGACATTTTTTTACTTTACAGACAGGCATATATGGCATAGGATTTTATTTTTAAATTTAGTGGGGCAGCCCATCCTATGGGTGAGATGGAATGACACGTGACTTACCAGTTATCAACTCGCCCGATTGTCCCCACGCACCCGTTTATACAATATAGTGTAAAGGCTGTTGAAGTTTAATTGGCTCCCCTCACCCCTTAATGGCACATGCCTATCCGTTATGATTTTTTACATGTTCTTATAGGGCTATTGTCATGCGCTACAGCGATTGTAAATGATACAGCAATATATGCAGCGCCAGGACAGATGATTTGAATGATTGTATTCAAGCTATCGTTTTCTCCCTCGTAATTTCAACCTCGCTTGCATAAATTGCCCACAATCTTTTAAATTTGCCTCATTCATTGAAATTAGTGGATCAGTCTAGGAGGAGTTCTTTGGATAAAGATACACCTATACAAAGATCCACAAAGATTAGCTACTTGTAATTAGGCCCTTAACCTGACAACATTAAATCGGAACACAACTTTACATGTATGCACCCTGCTAATGCCTGGACATTTGAAAATTGAAGTGACGTGGAAACGCTGCCTTTAAGAAGACTGGGCTTGCTCAGCTCGATGTGATGCTGTTTGCAGGTGAGGCAGCAGCTGAGCGAAATTCAGACCAGGTTGCTGGAGGCGGAATCTGCTTCCTCGTCCGACCAGGCATTCGTCCTTATGGACGATATAGAATTGGAAGGGGTGAGATTTTTGTGACACACCATTTCTCTTGCATGGGGGACCAGAATGAGAATGCTCTTTTCCTTCTTTCCGGCACTAACCCAACACTAACCCCAATTTTCTCATTTGTGCATGTGCAAGAGGACATCTTTTTGATGCTTTCAGATTGTCGGTCTGTGGCGTTTGCGTATACATTAACCCTTCACTTTTCTCCAAATCAAAGACAGGCACTAATCCTGTTCCATTGCAGTTAACTCAATGCTTGCTGGTGACATCTTCTGACCCTTAGTGCAACTTAAATTTAAGCTAATATTTGAGCAAATTGTGAGCAACATTGGTCAATGTGTTTACAGCTGAGGGGACAGATCAGCGAGATGATGGCGCGGCTGGAGGTGGAAGATCAGAAGCCTCATACTGAGAGGGTAAGCAAAGAAGTTGTTGTCGCCTAGTAACTTCCCACTGCTGGACAAAGGCTCCCTCCATTACCTTACATTTCTTCCTTTCCTGAGTTGTCATCCAGTAGTGGTCTCTGGCTTATTTAATTTTAGTGGAAAAAGATGAAACATGCATTTTGAGTATTTGGCTGATATAAATTTCCACATAAGCTACTTCGTTCAGCTATCATTTGTGGCCAAATCGCTTATGAAAAATAGGTATATAGTTCTGAAAGAATCTGGGATTATATGAACAATGACAACAAACCTCAACCGTAATAAACAGGACCACCACAATCATAAAATAAATTAAGCAAACCAGTCATCGCCATTCTGAAAGATGGAAAGACTCACCCTCCAACTACAGGACCTAATGAAACGTGACATGCTTGTCAAGAATTCCCTCCTATGTTGACCCACAATTGCCTCCCGTACAAAACCGTCCATAGCTGCTGCAAATATTGTGTAGCCTTCGCCACCCTCAGAAGCTGGTGTTCAGTGTCAACAAAAAACTGGAACGATCAATGACTTCTCTGCTGTCCGACACCATTTCAACATCGTCGCCTGCTGCCCAAGTTGGCCAAAAATAATCAGATGTCGTTCTACTGTACACCTAATTGACACGACGCTTGGCAGCCGTACTTTCGGGGTACACCTCGCTGGTAAACATAGCTGCAAGAGAATTATGAAAATATGGCCTCCCTCAAGGCTTGGTCCTCGCACCGTCACTAATTCACATATATATGTGACTTGCATTGTATATCGTCTCACAAATTAATGTATGCAGATGACATAGCCCTTGCTGCACAGGCCACAAACCTCCAGAACATTGCCATTACTTACAGCTGATCAAACCTTATTGATGGCATATTTCTGTCGCTGGAGACCCTGACCAAATCCTTCCACTTGAACAGTCCATGCAGAAGATGCCACCCTTGTGTCCTGTGGCAGTCTATTTCGATAAGACCCCACTCCAAGATATCTAGGGTTTATTATAGATGCCTGACCTCAAGCTGCACGTCAAATCTGTGAAAAGACCAAATTGAGAATCGCCCTGCTACAGAAACTTGCAGGAACGACCTGGGGTTCCTCATATGATGTGCTGCAAACTCCCACCCTTTCACAAATACTCCGTGGCAAAGAATTGTTCTGCAGCCTGGTCTGGGAGCTCATACACACAACTTCTAGATGCACAATGAAATAATGCAATCCACATCATAACCGGAATACTGAAACTGACACCAATCCCCTGGCTTCGTCTGGCAAACGTTCTGCAACCAAATATCCAGATGTGCAAGCTTCACGTTTTCTTGACGACAACATACTCATCAACCAAGACATCAACAAATGTACCTCACCGCCAATTCAAGTTCTGATCCCCTTTCTGGGATCACATTACCACTATCTAAAATCTCACCCAGATCTGTAAGAATGCTGGCGAACAGACTGGAATAACGTGGATCTCCAAAATAAACCTAATTTGAGACCAAAACGTCACACCTCCTGGCTTTGACATTGCTCGAAAACCTGCTTTATCAGTTGTAGCAGAGCATCAACAGGACGATGTGCACATCTCCTTAATTGAAAATAGACAATCCAGTGTGACTGGTCATGCAACACAAACTATGGACTATATAGTAAGCCACTGTAGTATGTGCTCCTTCAATAGAAGAGAAAACTCACACTCGCTTCTGAAGCCCTCTCGTAGCTTACAGTCCTCAACTTTCACATTTAGCTTCTGAAGTCATACACGGTAGAATATAAATGTTTTTTGTTTAATGAAATGTCTGTGATGAATAGTTTCTGAATTGACAATTAATAAAATGGCCCTTAAGAATGTTACATTCTGTCTGCACGGCAATTTACAGGAACACTCGGAGCAGTTGAACGGTTCTGGGGACGGTGCCAGTGGCGATGCTGCAGAGACAACAAAACTAAAGGTGGGCAGTGTCTCTAAATGCAAACTTATGCCAGTGTTTATTTGACATGAACTGAATCGCAGCCATATCAGCACTTGTTATTTTTACAAAGGTTTCGGTTTCTTGAACAAAAGGAGCTTCGACAAACCTGGTTTTCACCTGAGGACGGCTGCTTGCGTTGTGGCCGAAACGTCGTGAGAATTGTTTTTTTATTATTATTTTATTACTTCCCTTCTACGTGACTTTACTGAAAGAACCAAGAAGAAAAAAGGAGCTTTGTTTCAAAGCCGACTTGTAAAAATAAATGGCATTGTAAGTTGACAGCTTTGTCGTTACCGAGCTGCAATTTATTTAGCAATGTTTTTTATCGATGTTTCTCATGCACAGATGTGGTCAAATCCACGAAATGTTGTTATTTAATATATGTAAGACTTAGTTTATTCATGGTTTATACCTAAATTCAGGAACGCTTGGAAAAAGAGAAGAAACTAACCAAGGACTTGGGGCAAGCAGCAATGAAACTGCAGCAGCTGTTGAAGGCCACCCAGGAGCAGCTGAACAAAGAGAGGGAGAATTCCAAGAAACTCTCCTCCAATTCTGCTGTTGTGCCACCTGTCAAGGATTTGGTCAGTGGATAAACAAAGTAATACATAAAAAGTATCATACTGCACTGGTCAATGCACAAACTCATCGCATTTTTGGGGATGCAGCAAGTGAGTCAAAGTAGTAAATTCAATTAGAATTTAAAAAAATATCGTTGCAAGTTACCAAATTATCAGATGCACCTGAAAGATATTTTCACCGTGGCTTATTTTTGTGCAAATGTTAACACTACTTTACCATTTATATAACATACCTCTGAAATGTAACGCCTCCGGCAGTGTTATTTAAGTCTCTTTTTTTTCCAGAAGGAAGATGAAACAGCTGATGGAACTTCCGTGCAATGAGGACCAAGTGAACTAAAATTTACCTGATGCCTTATCTGTTATTAAACAATTAATATGCTCTTTATTTTAGGTGCCAGACAACAATAATGAAAGTGATTTTGTAAACTCAAGTGTTATCGCTTAGGGAAATGTATGAAATGGAATTTTAGCAATCCAACGCAACATTCCTAAAAGCTTTTTAGAAACACGGGTCCAAGTTTATTTCACTTTGACCAATGAAATGCTGTACTTTGTAGTTAAAACACTATGCTGTGTTGCTTGCCTTTTACATTTATTGAAAGGGAAAATTCTGTTCAGTTTTAATGAAAAAACAAAGGAAACTCAAAGGCAAAAGTGCAATTTTATTTTGAAAAGCATACAGTATAGTTGTAGATGAGCCGGTATGATTTTCTGACCAATTGCCAGTGCCTTGTGCTGTGGAAGCTGGATTTGATGAAAGCGAATTGTTGGTTTGGCAGACAAAGTTCTGTTGTGAAGGTGGACAAGAATAAAGGCATACTACTTTTTGACCACAAATGGATTTGTGCCTTCATTGGATGGAATGTTTGACCAAAAGGTGACATTTTAAGTACCAGTGACAAATACTTAATGTAAATCAAATAGTCGCGTTAATCAGTGATAGTTGAAGAGCAACTTGATGTAATGATCAACATAAATTAAGTCGATGCAAAATCACGTTTTAACCATCATGGAAGAAAACTGCTACTGCCAACAATCTTTGTGTAAGAGTACTTGCAACATTTATAACAGTGCATTTTAAAACATTTGTATGGTATTTAGGTTGAAGCCTGCAAAAAATTTGCATTTAATGTATTATGTAGTTTAATATACCGACAATACATCGTACTGTTACAACTTAAAAGCAAAGCATTGATCAGTTTGGTATTCTACACATCCAAAATATATGCATGTGCCAGTGGCTCTGCGTTGACACCATTAGTTTTACAAAGCAGTGACTCTTTGGCAACATCTTGGCCTCACTTATAACAACATCCAAACTGGGACAGCAGAGTTTGGAATTACTTTAAAGTAAAATAACTTAGCTGCTGCCTGCTGTTCATTTTGTAAGGCTCCAGTGTTTTGACAGGAAATTACTGCAAGGTTTGTGACTGATATGAAATTCCTTGAATTGTAATTGGATTTGTATTTAATTGCTTAATGCCTGTTTGTGTAAATGGAACTGCAAGTTTCACAGCAATGCTTAAATTCTTCATTAAAACCAGTGCTTGGCACAAACATGAGAACAATGTTTCTAAAAAAAGAGCATGCAATGTTAACGTATGTTACAGCTGAAGTACAAAATATGTGTATGAATGCACAAGATGTACTGAATGTAGTGTAAACGGTGTTTGATGGTTTGGCTTTATCAAACACTGTATGGTATCAAATCAATAGCTATCTGCAGGGCCAGTACAGCTGCAAGAATAAAGGCTTTCAGCAATTTGTATGAAATACATTTTTGGCATATCTTGAATGGAGTCAATGTTGCCTGTGTAGTTATAAGTGTTTCATAAAGCCAGCCCTTGTGCAGATGTACGATGAACCTGGCTTATAGACAGCCCTTCAAGAAGTAAAAATGTAACAGAAAATATAACTCGGACCTAGGTCCTTGGCAGCAAGAGTTATAAAGTCTGATTAATGAGAAATGTTAACTTTCAACAAAAATGTAACATAACAAAACCCCAAAAGCTGCAAGTAAATGTCAGGAGATTGTCAGGAGGTAGTCACATTTACATGGGTTTCCCCTCTAGCGTCACAACAATATTTCCCCCAAGCTTCTCTACTAAAGTGTAGTGGTCCTTGATGTCTTCCAGACCGTTCACCTGCCATTCATGCTTGATACCTGAAAGAGGCATCACAGTGATTAACATTTACCGAACTTCATGCAAAGGTAAAAATGCAGTCCTAAAATATAGCTCGTGCAACTGCTGTCAAAGTGCCCCCCCACTTGAGGGAGCAACAGAGACTCCCTAAAAGGGTATTTTGGCTGAATGGTCCATGCTGGTCAGGTACCTTGGAAGAGGTTACTACCTGTGAAATAACTCGTGCAATAAACAATATGAAATGTAGACGTGGAAAAATACATGTGTGTGTGCGCTACAAATTGATAACAATTGAGCACACTTGTGATTGCAATAATTATATATTTGCTCAAATTACCTGTAAATTTCTTTTTAATAGCATCTTTGGAGCTGGCATAAATCATCTTGCTTTTGAGTGGTGCACTGTCTGGTGCCCTGGAACAAAAACACCTTATTACATGGAGTACGTACAGCTTACATACACAACTATCATATGCCTGAGCATTTGTATCTAAAAGTTTTATGCATCCTATTTAAACGTTTACGAATGTTTCTAGTAAGCAACTTAAAAATTTCGATTTAAAGTTTTCGTGACTGCAGGGATTCATATTCTTGGTTCTTTCGGTAAAGTCACGTAGAAGGGAAATAATAAAATTAAAACTAAATTCTCACGACGTTTCGATTGCAACACAAGCAATCATTATCAGGTGCAAGAAAAAGTTTACCGCCTGATGATGATTGTGTTGCAATCGAAACGTGATAATTTAATTGCTATTTTATTATTTCCCTTCTACGTGACTTTACCGAAAGAACCAAGAACAATTACCAAAAATATATAATTTTCAGTAATTGTGTGAAAGTATAGATTTGTATATCGTATTGCGCATGTACAGCCCTTTGTCAGTCCACGACTGTATGAGGGTGTACTCGAAATGAGCCACGGGTTATTTTACGATACTTAATGCAGGCCACTTATACTTCAACTATTTTATTTACCAGTTAGAGCTCACTGAGCTATTAGCTCTTTCAGAAGCGACCTGGCCACAAATAATAATTCAACTAAGTAGCTTTCATGTAGGAATTTATAGCAGCCAAATTATGTAAACGCATGTTTCTAACATGTGGAGGGAAAAACCAGAGGGCCCGGAAGGAAAAAAAAACACGCCTATGGGGAGAACATGCAAACTCCAAATATACTGGCATTAAGGTTTAAAGAATACAAAGTATAATGGAATTGTATGCACAGACCCTCTGCTGCCGAATCGGAAGTCAGACAACAGCGCCTGTTATGAAAGACAGTAACCCAACCAAGCACTATACAGGCACAACGCTGCTTAACTTCCTAAATCTGATACGACTGGGCACATTTTAGGGTATTTGAGCAGACATTAAGGCAACAAATGTGACATTTGCTTTATCTAAAGAATGCATCATCAGTCAATCGCCATCTCTCTTGATCCTACAATGTGATAAGCCACCTAGTGCCTGCACACGACATGATTTTGCAACTGACAATCGAGCAATGGTTACTACTAACTGCAATACCAACTTAAATGCAGCTGCTTACCAAAACACAAAGACCAAGTCTTCTTTTTTGGACTCTCTGGTTTCATACGTGGCATCATAAAGTGCATAGCGACAGTCGTTTAGAGGCAACAGCTTCACGAAGGCACCGTATGGATCTTCCACCGTCTCTCCAATGTCCCCCACGAGTATCTGTCGGCTGGTCTCCACGATGATCTGTCGCTTGTCATCGCTCAGGCAGAAGAGCACGGCCTTCTTCCTCTTCTTGATCTCCTCCTGTGTCGAGGATTTCCTCACTTTCATGTCGTTGAACACCCTGATAACGTCATCGCTCACCGATACTCCAGAGGCCTGCGGGGAAGGGGACAGGCCCGAGAGAAAATGCTCGTGAGTTGTGCTCTTGTCACAAATTTAAAAATACGACAGCGCAGCGGATGCGTAATCTGCAGTGCGGTCGATAGAGGTCACGCAACAATGAGCCACCTAATGGGGGCATTATTACTTCCATTATAGTCCGCATCGCCCAATTCCAAATGCAATTCCCATTTGTTTTCCATCAATGATGTTACGTATTTTTTTTATAATTCAACAACAAATAGTAGCAGTAGTGTTACAGTAGGCAACTGAAATGTTTAAGAGTTGAATGAGTCAGACCGACCATTTGGTTTGGGGATGAGAAAAGGTGCAAGTCACGCTTGCAAATGGCAAGGTCACAAATACGACAATTCGTTCCACTATTTCGCACTCTGAGTTGGATATTAATTCGGTAGGTGTTTGAAGAATTATCTGCGCAACTTAACGACTAAAGGTTTACAGTTGAATCAATTGCCGTGTTTTTAACATTCTGGATTGTGTCTACAATGATTATGAAATTATAATTGTTTATTCCTCTTAACTGTGAACAAAAATTTAAAGCTCCACTTAACTATCAAGAAATGAATACAAAAGCTTGGCCAGATAATTTAACAGCGCAGTTGGCTACGTACGGTGCGGAAGAAATTCAACATACATGATCCACCTTTAAAAAAAATCACTTATAGGTACATTCAAAAGAGCACATTTAAGGGTAATTCTGTAATGTATTTAATCAGATCACGAGGCCCAATATCTACAACACTTAAGAGAACGGCTCAATCACTGCAATGTATAAAAGTTACGATTTGTCCATTCTTACACGCACAATACACAGAATCGACGGTATGCATGTTGATCTTAATTCGCACCGTACGTTGCCAACAGTGTTGATCAGAATCTTACACAACGAACTTATAGAAGGTTTCAGAAGCGGTTACAAATAAATGCAATATACATCATCTCATTGTGAATGGAGACGTGACCCCGAATCCTAACGAGTGAATCGAGTGGCTGTTGAGACCGATGACTCCACACACACACTTGCCACACACACACACTTGCCACACACACACCACACGTGCCACACACACACCACACACACGTGCCACACACACCACACACGTGCCACACACACACCACACGTGCCACACACACACCACACACACTTGCCACACACACAACACACGTGCCACACACACACCACACGTGCCACACACACACACCACACGTGCCACACACACACACTTGCCACACACACACCACACGTGCCACACACACACCACACACACGTGCCACACACACCACACACACGTGCCACACACACACCACACGTGCCACACACCACACACACACGTGCCACACACATCACACACACGTGCCACACACACACACGTGCCACACACACCACACGTGCCACCCACACCACACGTGCCACACACACACCACACGTGCCACACACACCACACACACGTGCCACACACACCACACACACACGTGCCAAACACACGTGTCACACACACACACACGTGTCACACACACACATGTGCCACACACACACACACGTGCCACACACACCACACACATATGCCACACACACACACACGTGCCACACACAGGCACACACACACGTGCCACACACAGGCACACACACACGTGCCACACACGTGCCACACACACACACCCACACACGTGCCACACACACACACGTGCCACACACACACCACACGTGCCACACACTACACACACACATGTCACGTACAAGTAAAAGCACGTGTATCAGCTCGGGTGAGTGCACGCACAATCAAACACAATCTAAAGCAGGTGAGAGATGCCATTGTCTGCGTATTCACGTGCATTGCAGCTCTTGAAATAGTGTGCGCAACTCTTAATAATATTGTACTGGATGAAGGCATCGGCACAGTATATGTGTGTGTGTTAAGTGTGTGCACGTCTAGCATGTTCCTGTGAGCACACCAAGTAACCACTCTTCAAATCCCATTTTATATCTCATTGAATCCCTCTTCACTAACCCATCCATTCTCAACTCTTCCTAAAACCCCATTCCTTCACATCCCATCAATTCCCACCAAATACCGGCTCTTTAAAAAAATCATATTCCTCTCTCATCCCGTTACCATCTAACCTCACCGCATTCGTGATCAGCTCGTCCTATTCAATGTGTAAACAGGATCATCTCTCTCCATCCATTCTCAAGCCGACGCGTTGGAACATTTCTCTCATCCCATTCATTCATTCACACTTCATATTCCGTTCATTCACATACAGTACCCCCCTATCCCATATATATTATCGTGTCCCATCACGGTCAATCTCTTTCCAAGCCAACCCCAATCAATCCCAGCTGTCGTGGCCACGTGAAACCCGGTAAGGCGACCACCCCACCCCACCCCCCGTGCCACCCTCCTATTATTAGCGCCGCATACCGCGAGCCAAGCCTCTCCATCTCTCCCCGACCATCACCCACCACACACACACGCACATCCACTCATGTCCTCCTACAACAAACACCACCAAATCCTTCACAACCCTCGCGGCGCGCCTGCTCATCCCTGCTCGTCCCCAGGCGAGCGAGGAGAGAGACGAAGCAGCACGAGGCTCGTGTGGAGGAGCCTGCCCGGGTAGTCACACCGCCACCACCACCACCCTCACCATGGCTCCTCCTGGGGCTGCTGCTGCTGCCGCTGCTGCCGGTGCCGCGCGTTGCGGGAAGGGGGAGGGACGGGGGAGGGGCGGTCCTCTACTTCCCCCCCTCCACCCCTCCCCCCTCCACCCCTCCCCCCTCCATCCCCTCCTCCCCCCTCTCCTCTCCTCCCCCCTCTCCCCTTTCCCCCTCCTACTATCCCCCCTCTCCCCCCTTCCTCCCCTATTCCACCCTCCACCCTTCCTCCCCTCCCTCTCCCCTCCTCACCCCCTCCTCCTATCACCCCCTCCTCCTATCCCCCCCTCTCCCCCCCTCCCCTCACCCCCACCCTCCCTCCCCTCCCCTCCCCCCACCCCTCTCCCCTCCTCCCCCCTCTCCTCACCCCCACCCTCCCTCCCCTCCCTCCCCCCTACCCTCCCTCCCCCCTCCCCTCTCTCCCCTCTCCCCCCTCCCCTCACCCCCACCCTCCCTCCCCTCACCCCCACCCTCCCTCCCCTCACTCCCCTCTCCCCCACCCCACTCCTCTCCCCCTCTCACCTCGGTCCCGTTACTCAGAGCGAGCGACGCGCCGCCTGATTGGTTCCCGCGAGCCGGTCACGTGGCGTCGCGCGGAGGGAGAGTGAGCGAGGCTGGGGTGTTATTTATTTAATTACGCGCTTCCTGATTGGACGAAAATCTCCTATTGAGACACGTGGTCGGGCGCGGCCCGCCCCCGGTTTGAGAAGCGTCGTTAATCGTGCCTCGTGCACGGCGCCGTTTTTGATTGGTCCGGTGAGTGATCACGTGGTCGCGTCGACAGGCTCGCGTTATTTATTTAAATTGTCCAATTGCACGCTGTTGATTGGTTTGGCGGTGTTGGACGCGTGCTTGTTTGCATTGCAGGTCAAGATTGTTAAGCCCCGATTTAAAACTTTCGTGACTGCAAGAATTCATTTTTTTTTTGGTAAAGTCACGTAGATAGAAGAAAAAAAAACAAATAAAGTGAATAAAAAGAATATAAAATAAAAAACACACTAATGTAGACTGGTCCACACCCGAGACAGCTTTTCTTAGAGCCTCGTCTCACATGGTGTTGGACCAGATGGCACCAAAAGGCGCACAACTCAAAGACAATGCACCATCAGCATTTGAGAGCTCGGGGTAAGCATTTACACCATTGGAACCTCCTTTGCCAGTGTGCCACGGTAAATGTTTGGCAGAGTTTATGGTACAGCCTGCCGTGATGCTTTTTTTTTCTCAGAACCAAGATGGGCATAAATTTGTTTATCAGAGTAAACAAACAAGTTAATGCATCACATTCTTAACTCTTACGCCAGCATTAACCCATATGCAGTTTTGCATTACTCGAATACTGCACAATTATTCTCGAGTCAATACATTTGTAATTACATGACACAGGCTGGTGAGAAAAGGGAAGCACGGGTACAAGCGCCGCTAAACAACATCCAATCTGAAAGGGAGAGGTATCTGGGGCAAAGGTAATGGGCGGGGTTGGCCGAGATGCTCTGGGAACCTGCTGGAAGGTTCCACGATCGGGCGTGGACAGAGGCGGAGCCTCGCCACGCCTGGGGTGATATAAGCGGGGGTCGAGGACTCGGGGTTCGTGTGTGCAGTCTTGGGTCCAGACTGCATTGCTGCTCGCCAACATCTCTCTCCGTCGTCCAGCCATGTGGAAGATCTCCTGCGGGCTTTCATCACCCTCCTTGGCACACCACCAACCAGCGACGTAGCCGAGTGTGGATGGTGGAACCGCGCCGAGTGATCGGCCGTGTGTGTAGCCAGTAGAGACGCTAACATCGAAGTGTTGTACCCAGAGTGAGAGGATAAGTTGACCTGTGTTGTGCCCGTATAAGAATAAAGAAGACGTACCCTCTGTACGATGTGTCGCGGAAGTCGCTCATTCCACATTGTATCAATCATGTGACATCCCCGATGTCACTCCAAATACTATAATTTTGTCACTCTGCACCCACGGCCCTCTTCACCCCTCCCCCCCCCATGTGTGCAGATACTGACTATTGTATGTCAGGTGTGTAGGCATATATGCCTACAAAATAAAACAATTTGGGGGGGGGGCATGGGGTGGAGGGGTGAAAACATTTTTGGGGGGGTCGACAACTTTTGGAAACATGTTGGATGAACTGCTTACCTCCACATCTGTTGGGGTCAACTTTCGATAACTTTTTTATTCAGGCATTCTTAAAGGTTCTTATAATTTAGTTGACTGATAAACGGAACGCCGGGCTTTTATAACAGGCCATCGCCTGGTAGAAAATGCTAATTTATGTAAATTACTGTAATCATGACCGTTATTTATAAACATCCAGCTGGGGATAGACACGTTAATCCCGTATGAACACCCGGCGTTCTATCACGTGGACGCATAAAGGTGCCACGTATTTATGCGAAAATAAAATGTCACTTGACAAGCACAAACATTAATTTTCGTCAATACTGCCTTAAAATAAAACTAAATACGTGTCAATGGATAACGACCCTTCTCTGATGTGCTTTGAAGGGCCATTGCCCAAAAGTCGCCCATTTTTCCGTGTAAGGTAGTGTTATTGACGAATATTTTGCCAAGCTTTGTGCAGACAAGTGGCCCACAAGTGGTGGCAATTTCTTGCTGTTATTGGAGCCTTTGGGCAGATAAAACTCCGAAATAGTTTAGGGCAATAAATGCATTCTCTATTATTATAAGGGTTTGCATGATATAATTTTGCTTAAATTAGAAAAAATGACCTGCATGTATTTGAGCTTTACAAAGTAAATGGGAATAAAATGCATGGAATAACATTAATTTTTGAAGAAATGCCACATCAAATTGGAGACAATCGACTTTACAAACCTCCATTCAAAACGCATCAGAAACATGTCCTGTAGTCTCCTAGACATCTTGTTGCATTGTAAGGAGGTGTCACATGCTCTATTATAAATGATCAACCAACCCTGCCCAAGTCACTGGATTACAAGCCACCGGCACTGCCACCCAGCTTCCATCATTACCATTGGTGTAAACTCCCAAGATATCAAACCAACACCAGCTCTTTAAAGTGTTTTTAATTTCACTTCAAAATACAGTACAGTATTACAAAAAGTTGAAGGTACTTCCTGAGTGCTTATTTATTTAGCAAGTGAAGACAATAACATTTATAATCTTGGCGAAAGAGCTGAGGCGGAAAGCACGATTGTTAACGGGTTGACAGAATTCCACATCTAACACCAATGCTGGAATTATCCAAATATGCACATAAACATTGGAAGTATAATAAATATTAACTAAAGGCTATGAAAAATACTGTAAATTTGTATTGAAGATGCCACGTTATTTAAAATATTTGCGTCCTTGCATTTTCTATTGGTCGTGTTTGCACAGCTCTCAAAAGCACACAGAGGCCATTCCAGTTTGTAGCCCAGTGTGTTAAAATATCTCCCATTGCGCAGCTTAATGCAGATTTTCTTTTACTTCATAAACAGTGCCAAAGTTTACTTTATTTAGCCTGCATGACAACTGCTTTGTTCAAAGGTACAAAAATGTCGATCGACTATCAAGTGTATTGTAAAGCTGTCCCAAGATCCTGGCCATAAAGACAAGCATTGAAGCTTAACATCAGTATCATATTGCTGTAAACGCCTTTGGAAAACGTGTTTTATTTTACAAACCAAAAAAATAAACTGTGCTCCTTTGCATACCATTTTACAAAAGATTTTATTTAACCTGGTTAGTCTGAACATTTTGCCCACACAGTTGCCCGAGTGGTTAACCAATGAGACAGTGCTTATTCAACTGTCCTATCGCCGGGTACGTTTGTGGGGTAAGGCGTCCTGTGAGGCAGAAGTGAGACCAAGCGCAGCAGCTCGTTCAAAGAAATATGCCTGTAGCCTCTCACCAGCCTTGGCCTCGTTGGTGTGCTGAGGATTGTAGTCAAAACAGTTCCGAAATAGGAGATCCACATCTGACAAAAAGTCAGCTGTTGGTGACAAAAAATAGAAATACGCATCAGCTTTCAGGGCATCAAAGTTGTGGTCTATACAGAGGCAACAGTTTTCTTCTATCATAATGCTTAGCGGAATTATGTTGAATTGCATGGAAAATAACATTTGTATTTTGTATGTTGTGAAGCTGTTTTTGTCAGACTTACCAGAGGCGGCGTATTCCCAGCTGTTCAGCTTCTCACGTATCACATTCAAAGCAATGGGCTTTTTAACGATGTCATAATAATCTGGCACCTGTTTGAAAGTAAACGTGTCATTTTACAACAGTATGTTCGCATCATATATTGGACATTGCAATAAAAATGCTGTTGTGCGCAACTGTTGCTATGGTAGAAAGAATCAATATAAAGCATGGTTGCTATGTATTTACAGCTTTGACAGCACAACTCCAATTATAGTAACAATAGTTTTCACTTGTAATGCGCACAGTATTCACTCACACTTCATACATATTCAGAGGCGCGAGGCACCACAGAAAAGGAGAAAAGGCAGCCAAGGTAGTTAGCCGGCACCCAATTACTCCCCAAACTCTGTGATCATATATATAAGGTGTTATCGGTCAATTGATCAGTGTTTATATGTGGGAAGAAACCAGAGCACCCGGATAAAACCCTCTTGTGCGAGGGGGAAAATCTATCTCATAGAGAGATGGAACAGATGGAGATTAGTTCACACTTGCTGTACGACCATCTCCTAGCAAGCAAGATTAAGTCAACCTCGATGCCCACAAGGTAGTTTCACGATATGTGTGTGTGATCCATCAACCCTCGCCTCCACAGTACAGGATTATCGGCGTGCGCCACCTTCGCCCAGAAATTGGGGTCAGACACATGGGCACCACGTGTGCCATTTTTGGCCCCATTGTTTTTATTTTTGGACGTGGAACGTTGCTCTTGGCCAAGTGACATTACCTGACTGCGCTGGACCAGCTTGAGGAAGGGCCAGCTGTCAATGTGTCGGATCAGTTCGATCACTAGCTGCTCGCACGCTGTTAGCTCGTGCGTTCCCGAGTGCCGGCTTGAGCTTCGCCGGCTCGTAGATGCCTCACCACTGCCTTCTGCCGATAACACAAGAGCACAATGACACGGTGACGTGAAGATATACTCACTGGGATGTGTTGACTTCTGTAACACATTTC